TTGCCACTCAAACTAAACAGCAAACAGTCAAGAAAACAGGGAAGCAACAAGATGTAGTACACACACACACACACATTCCGCACAAAAACCAAACACACAGGCCTGAGCATCCGCAGACCCCGTTCCAGCCAAAAATCCCAATGCGAAAACCCAGAAAACTCGGCAAACACCAGAAGAAGACTCAGCAAGCCATGCGCACTCCATCTCACAGGATCAGCGAGCTTGCCCATTGCTCCCAGGACCCGGAGATCTCCAGGTACCAACTTTCACACTCGGTTGCGAAATCTGCTCCCCTGCTAAAAGTGAATAACTTTTAGTGGTTTAATACCGAAAACCCACTAGTTGGCCAAAAGTTAAAGTCCTAACATCCAAGCAAAATGCACCAAAGACTTCCAGGTTGTACCAACAGCCTTTGAGATGCGCGTTAGATTTCGCAGGAAGCAGGGCTCAAACACCAAATTTCAACGTTAGCGACTGTGACTCCAGCACGTGTGCTTTGGCAAAAGCTAAAACTGATCAAACGGCAAGAGGTTCCCCATTTCTCTAGATAGTTGCTCGATTGAACACTCAAAGACGAAATGAGACATGTTGCTCTCGTCGCACAAGGATTCTTCAATTGAGAACTCAAATGATGAAAGCCGGCGTTTTGGTTGGAAAATACCGATGGGAACCATCAGGATTGACCACATGTCTTGACATTGCAAGATTCTCTCAGCTCCGGGTTGGCACTGCGTTTGAAGATGGGACTATAGGAGTTGAAAACAACATTTGTAACAACCAAATGGCCAAACAGAACTAAAGTATGTGTGCTTTCGCAAAACCTCTACCTAAAAGATTGTCCAAGGATGTTCTTGGGTGTGCAAAATCTTGTGATGAAGGCCAAACCGTGTTTACAAAAAGGCAAATACAAGAAAACACAGCCCATCACCGGACCCTTAGTTGAGATACCAAAGTGGCTTGAATTGTTGAAGAGGGGACTGAGGGGACTTTCTGGGTATGACATAAAATGGAGTTGGTAGGTGGTTTTTCCCGGCATTCACCGGGCTTCATAGGGTGTGAAGAGGATTTGATGCTTAGCACAGAAATTGTCTGGGCTCAAAAACATGGGAGTTGTAATGAAGAATAATATCAAGAAGACAAACTTTCGTTGAATCAGAATCTGTTTGATGGGTTCCTGGACCTTTCAAGGGCCTACCCACAAAAAGAAACGGGGTAAGGCAGAAAACAAACCAAAAAAAAAAAACGGGTCCTTTGCTCCAGGCCCGCCTCTCCACTTTCCCCCTGTTCCCTTTTTTTCCGCCTTTTCCGATTCGAGCCGCCTTCCGCCGGCCTGTCGGTTCCTCAAAAATCCGCTGGAAGGCAAACCTTGGCCTCCAAATGCCCTCTGCACCGCGCGCAGCCGCTATGTCTCAAGGTCACGTGCCCATAAAAATATGGGCAGGAGTGTTATTGTTGGTAGGGACCCGCGAAAATGGACACAATTCGGGGATTCATGTCAACTATTTACCCCCTGTTTCATAGCCATATGCTCGGCCCAGGGAGACCATTTTTGTTTCCTCGAAATCAAACGCCCGGCATGAGGAAACTTGAATGGACATCTTTGTGGGTGAGCTCGTTTTACACCCGGATCGCAAGCTTGCCAGAGCTGCAGTGGGTATGTGGCGAACCTTCTGCAGAATGTCCTGTAACTGGACAACTATTTTTTCCGAGCCTTGAACATAGCTTGGACTCAGGCCCCCTATGCCCATACACCTGAAGTCACAAGTAAATCTCTAGCGCTGTATGGCTCGACCACATTGTGTTGCTCCTTTTCTTGGTGAGTTTCAGCGTGTGAATCTTGGGCTGCTCCATACTTCCCCATCGGATATGTGCCAGCTGAACGAGCTTTCGTTCCGGCTGCACGCTTCAAGTGTCCAAAATGCATGGGCCCAATACCCTCCCACCAAACCATGCTAGCTGGTGGGAGGATCATACCCTCCCGCAGTTCGCTGGCCAGAAATAGAGTTCCGGATCCTCGATCTCAGGCCCACTCACTTTGAACACCTTTCTCAAGGCCAGAGCCGGCGAGCCTCTTCGAGTTGGATGCACCCCACGCCGCAATCAGATGAGACGTTTAGGCTGAAGGATTTTTCGGCTTTCGGCTTTCTCGCCGGCGCGGGGAAAGCAAACCGCTCCCAAGTCCTTGCATCGAAAATTGCTCGATCTGGCGCAAGGGCGCCATGAGGAAATTCTCTCACGTTCCACCCGGTCGGCTTGCGAGCGCAATGGAGAAAGCGACCAACCAATGACGTGTGTTGTTTGCGCCTTGCCGCCGGGACAAATTTGTGGCCGAGCACAGCTACGCTCAATCTCCATAGCCCGCGGTCGCCTACCGCAGGCTCCAAAGCCTTCCGGGCCAGACCAGTGCCGCCAAGCAAGTTACCTTCAGAAAGCATTTGGGCTCTCCCTCTCTGAGAAAGAGATAACTCTTCCCCGAACTCATGAACAAATACCTTTCAACCACTTGTCAAACGCTTTTGCACATGATCTTCGTCCCAACCGGATTCAAACACTTTTCAAACGGCGTAGATACCGACGCAGGCGCCGAAGTTCCACCGTTTCTCAAAGATGCCGGGCTCACTCACGCTGCTTTTGCACCCGGGCCGCTCCGGTGACTGCGAGTCGTCCTCGGAAAGAGACGAGAAAACCCACCCTTTGAAAGGCGGAAGAAAGGAACCAACGGCATGCAGCTGTCAGCTGTCTTTTTGCTGCTTGTCTTGCTGGTGCGGTAGCCAGGGAAGAACCCAGCGTTTGGGACTCGCAGGAAACCATAGATGATGGTTGGGGGCCATTCCAACTCATTCATTGCCTTAAACCTGCCAACCTCAGCTCGCATTGATCGTTTTGGGCCCCAACCATCAAGTTTCTTTACATCAGTTTTGAGTGGCAAACACCAAAAGAACATAGAACGGCTTCGGACACGGTATCCTTGTTTGACCGGGGTGTCACATCGTTTTAACAGTGCTTGCGCAAACTTGTCTACTCAAAATGGTGAAAGCTGCACTTTGTCAGGACACACGTAGTACACGAAGTGCAGTTGGCAGTGGCTCGAGAGAGCGCCAACTGCGCGTTTTAAAAGGCAGCTCCGGCCAAAACGTCGCAATTCAGTACGAAAGAAACACACTTTCGTGCGGTTTGATAGTTGTTGCATCTCAAATTCACCAACATGTTGATAGGTCGTCCATATGGCATGATTTTCCCCAACAGCTGAAAGCTTTGGTCTCAGCCCAGATAGGCTCCGGGGTGGTCCAGGGCGGCCCTGAGGTGAGGTTCCACGAGGGTTGCACCAGGTTTCACCAGGGTTCCACCAGGGTTCCACCAATTTGCGCGAGTGGTCTGGGGTGGTTTGAGGAAGGTTCCACGAGGGTTCCACCAGGGTTCCACCAAGGTTCCACAAGGGTTCCACCAGTTCTGAAAGTACTGCTAGGTCCGGGGTGGTTTGAGGCAAGGTTTCAAGAGACCAGGGTTCCAGCAGAGTTCCACCAAAGTTCCACCAGCTGCGAGGGCTGCGGGGTGGTCCGGTTTGAGGTAAGGTTACACGAGGGTTCCACCAAAGTTCCACCAGAGTTCTACCAGGGTTCCATCAGGGTTCCAGCAGGGTTCCGCCGGGTTCTGCAAGGTCTGCGGGGTGGTCGGGGGTGGCCATGAGGGTTCCAGCAAGGTTCCGCCAGGTTCTGCAAGGGCTGCGGGGTGGTCGGGGGTGGTTTGTTTCACCACCACAGTTCCATCAGGGTTGCGCAGGGTTCCGCCAGGTTCTGCAAGGGCTGCGGGGTGGTCGGGGGTTCCACCAGGGTTCCACCAGGTTCTGCAAGGTTCTCGAGGTTCTGCGGTCCGGGGTGGTTTGAGGTAAGGTTCCATATGAGGTTCTGCGAGGGCTGTGGGATGGTCCGGGGCGGCCCTGAGGCTTCGCAGGTTCGACAGAGTTCCGCAAAAATTCCACCAGGCTCCACAAGGGTTCCAGAAATGTTCTGCAAGGTTGCGTGGTTTGCCCTCGAGCAGTGTGTCGTGCGCCCGCCATCTGAAAACCCATGGGAGCAGCAAATTGAAGGCTCAGAAGATCGCTTTGCTCAGGGGCGGAACACTAAGCAAAACAGAAATCAATGGTTTTCAGCACACTTTCACTGTTTTGTCACTTGCTCAGGCAACGCGGCCCCGAAATGTTGGCTTTGTTGCAAATCAGAGCACGTTGCTGCGGGACTTACTGCGCAGCAGAGTAAATGCTCGGCATCGCTGAGTATTAGTTGGTGGGCTTTGGGTTCCAAGAATTCCACAAGGCTGCAAGGGCTATGGTAAGGTTCCAAAAACGCTTCACGAGGGTTTCACCAGGATCTGTTATAAAAGGTATGGAGCAGCCCTGAGGAAAGGTTCCAACAAGGTTTCACGCTGAGTTTCACGAGGGCCCGATTGCACCGTCGGGGTCCGAGCGGCCCCGATTGCGCCATCGCTCCCCGATCAGGCCCGACTCAGTTGGGCCCCGTCAACTGTACAAAGCTGGCATCGCCTAGTTTTGCTAGATACAGTTGTATAAGGCCGCAACAGTCGGGCCCCGATCGGGCCCCGATTGCACTGGCCCCGATTGCACCGCCCGGCCCCGATCGGGCCCTGATTGCACCGTCGGGCCTCGATCGGGCGCCGATTGCGCTGTCACTCTTAGCTTTGGTTTATAAAGTTACAAGGCGGCATCCTCAGCAACACTGGCGGTGAGGTGGGTCCCGGGGCGTTCCGCGAGGATTCTGGGAGGGTGTGGTGCTGTTGGGGATATCGCCTGAGCTTATTTTAGAAGGGACCCCAAAGGGTGGACAAAAAAAATCGGGGAGAAGAAGGGATAAAAAGGTCTACCAACCACTTAGGTGGTTTCAACTCGTAAGAATTACATCTTGTTCTTTGGCGTCACGTTCAAACCAAGCAAAGACTACCCCCGGACAGGCAAACCTCCATATGTCTTCCCATGGCTTTTCTTTCAACCCGAATCCGCGGAACGAAAACGCGAAGCCGCGGAACGGCACGACACTTTAGCCTTGGCCTGACCTGTTGCGCGCGTGGGTATGGTGAATGCCAGAGAACTCATTGAACAAGCTATCAAACAAATCTAGACCCCTCTTTTTCCTATCATGGAAGTGGAGGTGTTGGAAGATCATCCTCTTTGGAAAGAGTCTCGACTTGTGGGTAAGTTTCAACAGATTCGGAGTTTCCTAATGCTTTCCATGGTGTTTGCTCCCAGGCTTCCCTCAATCAGCGGCAATGAGCAATACTGAGCCGATACTAAACCAGTACTAATCCAATACTAAACGCAGACCGCATGCTTTCCAAAGACCGAAGACTGGGGAGGGACCTTTGAAGCACAGGCATTTGCACTGTGGGGGAACCGCAGTAGACCACCACCACATTCCAATCTTCCAGGCCCAATGGAGGGACCACGGCTAGGACCAAGCCCTACGATCCCTGCCAACTCAAGTTCTCCCTGACAAATTAACAAGGAGACCCCCGGCAGCCTTGCACTTTGCTTGGGGTTTCGGCTTCCGAGTGATTCGAATTCAGTTCCTGGGCTGAGTCAGCCCAAACAACCGCCCAATTTGTGCGGTCTTGCGGTTGTGGAACGATCATGTCAGCCTGTGCGGAACAATCAAAAGGGTTCTAACTAGAGTCAACTCCGGATTCATCTGAAAGAGCATGCCCATCATTATTGATTCACTTTGAGGGGATTCCCCTGGTTAATGGCCGTCCAAACAATTCCGGAGTCATATCATATCAAGCACGAGATGCAACGTATCTTCTGCCACCAAGCGTCAGAGCAAGTCGTTGATGTATCGGAGTCATTTGCCTCGTAACACAAACAAACGCGTCACTGCAACGAAGCTCCAAACGCTTGGATCGATGTGTGATGCAACAAGGTGCGTGTCACTGGTTGGCGTCCTTCGGGCCCTTGAAACAGCGGGGCGCTTCTCACGTCTTCATTGGTCGCCCAGCTCACCCCGTAAAATTGGGAAGGCCCTTCAAAAGAAGATCCAACATTTCGACGGGCCCAGATGCTCCCAAGTCAGATTCCGTGGAAGCCTCGTCCTTCTCTGACGCATACTTCATGACTTGCACCTCGGCTTGCTTCGGGCTGATTTGCCCGGCGATCAAAAAAAGCTGAGTCGAGCCAAATTAAGGGGCTCCCTCATGTTCACCATGCGAGGGCCTGTGTGAAGCAATCAAATGGGTGCAAGGACCATACTAATCATTGTCAATTCCCTTCAGGGGCCAACCAATGTTGTGCCCCCGATTGCAGTACTATGGTCGTCCGGAAAAGCGCAAAAAATAACTTTATATGCTGACTATACAACCAACACGGCATTCTTCTTTGTTTGCTCTTGCAGTTTTCTTGTTATTTTTTGTTTTTTGTTTTCTTTTGGGGGGGTGTTGTGAGGATAAAAAATGCAAGTCGAGCGTCAGAGCCAACTGATGGATCCTCGAAGTCCTTCACCTCGTCATGACCAAAACTGCGAAGCTGTGGCAATGACGACGAGGCTCCCTCCTCCTCAGATCGTCCATGCGCATATGAGGGGAACGGTATGCGGCCAGCCAGCCAACCAAGCAACCAACCAACAAACCAACCAGGGGACTAGCCCTGGTAACAAAAACAAAACTAGGAAAAAACAAAAAAACACCGGATCCGTTTTTGAGCCCCTAACCAAAAAAACTGCCGACATGGAAAAAGTGGGAGGCGGGGCCGGGCTGGTTTTTGTGTGAGATTGGAATCAGTTGATCATACCGACATAGTGCATGCAAATGGGTATGGTGTCATAGGTGACCCCCTGAACTGCTGTTCCTTTCTCTCCATGTATCTAGAAAATAGGAATTTAGGAGGGAAAGACCATCCAAAACGAAGCTCCATATTTTGAGACAAGCCCAAATGCTTCTCCCAAGTCGCTGAGGACTCCATGGAAGCCTCGTCCTTCTCTGACGCAGTCTCCGCGACTTGCACCTTGGCTTGTATCAAACCCGAAGATTGGGGACGTGCAATGGAACAATCGCCACTTAGGGATGCTGTGGATGCACCGTACGGGTAGTAAAGAAGGTCAACTGCAAATAACTCCAGCCAATGGACAGCATCCCATCTTTATCTCTCCCTCATTCCTCATCCCATCACTTGCCTAACGGTTTCATTCATCTATCCATTCCATTCCTAACATTTCCATTATACCTTACCACCTTGAAGTTACTTGAGTTCCTGGAAGTTGAGATTGCATGGAGAGAAGCGACATCATTTGCTTGGTCTATAGATGGGTCTTATCTTCATCCCATGACCAAGCCTCAGGAATAATACAAAGTAACCAAAAAGAAAACCAATTAATAGTAAACAAACAAGATATAGAAAGGACAGAGATTAATAGATGTAAAAGGGATGTAATAGCGTTTCTCTTCCTCTTGTCTTATCGTTTACTCTGGAACCGCCAATGAAGGCGAGAGAAGGTCGTGAACTTACCTAAGAACATGAAATCCAAATAAAAATATGAAAAGAAATAAAAGATGAAAAAGGAAAAGATTAATAGCTGAGATTAAAGGGTTGGAATGTAAGGCTTAGAATAATTGCTTTTCTTTTTCTTGTCTCTCAGCTGTCATTATCTTTTCATTCATCACACATTAATTCCAAGAATAACTTACAGGACTTAGAGATAAGAAATCCAACAACATAAAGTGGTGAAACGAATGGAGGGAGAACACAGATAAAAGCATTCTATCTCCTACAAATTAACTCCAATGGCAAGCCTTCAACCTAAGGACTCATCCAAATACACAGATTAATAGCAAATAAAAGAGAAAGAAATAGATAGGAAAGAAAAGGAAAAGGTGTACACACGTCAAAGGACCGAGCTAATCAGCGGTCCATTTTAAGGGATTTCTCTATGGTCGTCCAATAACCCCGAAGCTAACAAAACACATGGTACCTTTCATCTAGGCCTCACCCCCGAGCTTCACATTCGAAGCCACATGTGTCAAAATAGGATTTGGACCCCAAAAATGGATTCGGATTTCCGTTTGTTTTCTGAAAGAAACACACCAACCCAAAAAATGATATACCCTCAAAAAACACACGCGCCAATTCTTCTCCCAAGTCACAGAAGCTTCCGTGGATGCTTCGTCGGATGTCGCTGACACATTCCTCACGTATTTCGCCTCGGAATGGCCCCGAGGTGAAGATAGTCTCTTGCATGCCTTCAAAACAAGCGGTGCCCCCAAATGGCTTGCCTTTCAAAAAGCAGGTGTACGCTGAAGAAAGACAGACCCATATGGGGGCTTCTCAAAATGGCAGACACCTTCTTCTTTTTTCCCGGAAGCGTTGCGAAGGGCTCTTCCGGGAAAAACACCAGCCTTATTGCACAGACAAACTTGCACGAGCCAACTTGCACGAGAATTTGTCGCACCGCCAAACTTGCACGAGCCAACTTGCACGAGAGATCGCACAGACAAACTTGCACGAGCCAACGCGTACGATAATTTATCGCGCCGCCCAACTTGCACGAGCCAACGTGCACGAGAAATCGCACAGCCAAACTTGCACGAGCCAACTTGCGCAAGAAAAATCGCACAGCCAAACTTGCACGAGCCAAAACTTGCACGAGAATCTATCGCAACACCAAACTTGCACGAGCTAACTTGCACCAGAAAAATCGAAAAGCCAAACTTGCACGAGCCAACTTGCATGAAAAAATCACACAGACAAACTTGCACGAGCCAACTAGCACGAGAAAGCTGGCACGAGACATGTGGACACAAAAGAAAAGTTAGTTAGTCTCTTAAGGCAGCGCGGTGGGACCGAACCCACTCTGCGAAAATGACACCTTCTGCGGATTCTGCGGGGATTGGCATGGTCGACCTCCAAAAGCTGAGGACTTTTTCGGCTTTTTAACATGCCCGCGCCTTGGGATTGGCTGTGCGAAGCCTGCAGAATTTTTGCGATTTGTGAGGCGCGCGAAACTGCGGACTTGTTACGATCTCTGCAGTGCGCGCGCGACCCGCTGCGGGATTGGTGTGGTCGATGCGCAAAAACTGCGGGCGATTTTACGATTTCTGATTTGCGCGCCGACCCTCTGCGCTGCGGGATTGGCGTGGTCGAATGTGCAAAAACTGCGGACTTTTTACGACTTCTGATTTTCGCGCGCGACCTTCTGCGGGATTGGCGTGGTCGATGTGCAAAAACTGCGGACTTCTTACAATTTCTGATTTGCGCGCGCGACCCTCTACGAGGATTAGCGTGGTCGACCGAACGAAATGCAAAAAATGCTACTTGTCTAGTCGGAAAGGCGGGCTTAAAAGTTTGTCCCGTGGTTTGCGCACCTGGTCTTGAAAGCGAACAGCCATGGCTCGAATCCTGCTTGGTCGCCGTGGCTTCTAAAAGTTGGAAAGGCAGCACTTTCACAGCTCTGGCTAAAAAATCGCAGCTTTCAAGTACGAAAGTAGCACGCGAAGTACAATTTCGCAGCTCCGGCTGGAAAATCGCAACTAGTACGAAAGTATTACGCGAAGTACACTTTCAGAAAGGCTCCGGCTGGAAGATCGCAACTTTTCCGTACGAAAGTATTGCACGAACCACACTTTCAGAAGGCTTAGGCTGGCAGATGGCAGCTTTAAGCTACGAAAGTATTACACAAAGTATACTCAGGTCTGATCCGGACCGACAGTTGGAATCACGTGAAAGGTTGCTGTGTTGTGGCCTGCGCTGCACCAGCGCTGCACGCGCAGAACTTTTGCGCACAAACGTGCCTCGCACACGCAGAGCAACTTGCACTGAACTCTTGGGCCGAGAACTTGCACAGAGCTCGCAACACCGAAGCTGAAAATCAGTTGCAGAGGGACACGCATAAACACGCGTGCGGCAAAGCTTTGGCATGGAAATGTATGGGCAATCTATGGCAGTCTGCGCAGGGACTGTTGACCAGCCGCTTAAATCATTTTTACCTCGAAGCTTAGCGTAGCGTTGTGGCTTGGTGGAAGTTCTTGCGTTGTGGCTTTGAGGTTTCTGAGGCTCTGAGGTTTGCAGGTTGACGACGTCGTGCTTGCTTAGAGCGCCTGCCCCTGTGGCTGGCTTTTTCCCACGCACGCACGCACGCATGCACGCACGCACGGGTGCGTGCGCGCGTCTGACACACTCTCGCACGCGCATGTCGGCTGTTTTTGTTCCGGCTTGCCGTGTCAAGAGTTGAGACATGCGGCAGCTGAGTGTTGCATGCAAACAGCACACACGCACACGCACACACACACACACACACTGAAGATGTTGGAGAGAGCTCGCGGCGACGCTCTGGCTCTTTAAGAAAGATGCGTGATGTTTTCTGCTCGCAGTCACACGCCCTAACGGGCTCTCGCGCTCTGGCGGCAGACGTGGTCTGTACGAGACGGGCTATAGAAATCTGCAGCTGCAACTCGCCCATGAGAGGGGAAGCAAATATATACACACACACCACACACACAAACACCACACACGCACACGCACGCGCACACGCACACGCGCACGCTTACGCGCACGCACATGCACACGCACACGCACACGCACACGAGGCACACGCACACGCACACACGCACACACGCACACACACACACACAGACACACAGACACACAGACACACAGACACACAGACACACAGACGCACAGACACACAGACACACACAGACACACAGACACACAGACACACAAACACAAAGACACACACACGCAAACCCAAACACAAACACAAACACAAACACAAACACAAACACAAACACAAACACCACACACGCACACGCACACGCACACGCACACGCACGCGCACACGCACACGCACACGCACATCCACACACACACGCACACATGAAACCAACACTCACTTTCCATCATGCTTTCGGGCCACCCTTGTTTCTAGTTCGTTTGGATTCCAGATGCGTGAAAATCATTCGGCGGCCATTGGTTTTCAGAGTTGGAACTCAAACGAAGTGGACATGATTCCCAAATGCCTAAAGGGTTCCCATTGAAATTCACACTTTGACATGGCCAACACGGTCGCCCCAAAGGAGATTCCGCCAATGTCTTCCAGCCGCCATGAAATCTAGCGATGAAGTAGAGAATCAGGGATTCCCGTTCGTGTAACGGGTATACGAACCAACATCCAAAAGCAGGAAAAGGAAGCAAACATGGCACGTCTCAGATCGACGAACACGAGCTTGGGGCCAAAGTTTGCTTTGGTCTCTTTTGGGATGCTGCTGCTATGTTGATTTGTCTCAAAAAAAGGGGGGGGCTGCCACCATGTGAGTTAGTTTCCATGTTGGTGAAGTTCCTCTTGGTCCATGTTGGGTTCCACTAAAAAGGGGGATGGTAGCCCTGAAGGTCCATTGATGCAGGGAATATGTAGGGTATCATGCTCTTGTTAAGAACTTTGTTCAGGGCGTTCTCGTGTCACGGACACCCGGCGACCATCAGTCTCCGTCCCTCCAAGCACAATTGACGAGTTCTCCGGCCGCATAAAAAAGAGCCCTGATGTTTCTGACAACAAGCAACGCAACACGGCATGTTGCCCGTGACAACTCTCAATGACCCCTGTGAAACGCATAATATGCCAGAAGCATGGCAGGCGTGTGGCAAACAAATCGCCGTCGCTCGGGCTCGCCAAGCCAGGCTCGTTTTTTTGTTGGTTTTTGGAGTGGTGGCTTCCCTCGCCGGGCTTCCCCAAAAGCGGGCGCTCCTTTTTTTTGGAGCCGGTTGCAACCCCTGGGTGCCCAAAAACTGGGCACTGATCCGTGCGAGAAGTGCGGGGTTGAATCGGAAACTCAACTTGCTGGTGCTCAGTAGGGAATGTCGGAATGAACCCAGGCTTTGGTCTTGAAGGAAACAGGCAGTTGGATGGTTTTCCTTGGGGTCATTCCATTTCTGAATCCCTGCATCTCTCGCACCGATCGCAAGTCAAAGCGAAGCTGCAAACAAAGCCCGACTCCACAAATGAGAATCACCCCAAGGCTCCCGATTGTTTTTGGGCCCGCAACATTTTTTTTTGAGGGCCCTTGAGGGGTCCGGGTTCTTCATTGGAGGGCCATGAGCCTTGGGGAAAGTCCTCAACCTTTGCCGCCCCAAAGCCCTTTGGCCTTCCAACGCGCCCCCAAAGCCCGCCGAGACATGGAAATTCCTGGCCTGGGCTGAACTCGCCGCCAGCGGCGCCGGGGATTTCTTGCGGCACTGGTACAGGTGCACGGTGAGGCTCAAAGCCTGGCTTGAGGAGATCCAAAAAGGAAACTGATACCTGGGCTGCCCGTTTTCAGATCCGCGAAAAGTGACTAACTTTTAGTGGCTTAAATGGAAACCCCCGCTAAACACCAAAAGGCTAAAAAGCTAAGGGGATGGCTGGGAGCCACCAAGAAGCATGAGGTTGTGGCACAAATTAAAGAGCTAGAGTTACGCAGGTTTTAGTCTTTGGCTTTTACCAGGATGCCATTTTGGAGTGAGCTGTGAAGGGAAACAAGGAAACGTAGATGGTATGTTAGTAAGCCTTTTTGGAGTTGAGGCAAGTCCCGTAAAGGAAACCAGCAGGAAACGTTGTTGGTAAGCCGCTTTGGTGGAGTTAAGAAATATGTTGTGTAAAGGCAAACCAAAAGACATCTAGTTTGTAAGCCTTTTCTGCCCTGACCATGAAGAGCATAGGGAGCGTGCGGAGCATGTGGAGCATGTGGGGTATGCACTTCAAGGCCTAATATAGTGTTAAATGAACGCAGGGCATAATCAATGGAACCAAAGGCCCTCGGCTTCAAATTTTCTTGGCAACTTCTTAGCAGTTCTTAGCAGGGTTTTCTGAAAGACAGCCGAAAAAAAGAAAAAAGAAGTCCGGATCATCCGGCTGCTCCAAAACTGGACTCCAGCATTTTGGTTGGCACCTCTGTTGAAAGACGAAGACCTGCAGTCCTGTTTCCGTGTTCCAAAACCTTCCGCCGCAGCTCCGAGCGAGGCGAAGCCAGAGCCAGCAGCTGGGGCGCCCGGCCACCAGGAACAGGGACCCCGCGCGCCAGGCGCCCAGCGGCTTTGGGAACCTGGGCGCGAAGGCCTTGGCCTGCCTAGCGAGCCCCGGCTTGCTCCTTTGGGCCTTTGGGCCTTTGGGCCTTTGGGCCTTTGGGCCTTTGGGCCTTTGGGGGGCGGGAGCACCGGAGCCAATGCTCCTTTGGGCCTTTGGGCCTTTGGGCCTTTGGGCCTTTGGGCCTTCAGGAAACAAAAAGCCGGAAGCCCTGAGCCACACTCACCACACATACCAGTCAACCTATGTGTCGACTTATTTTTGAGGAATACATGCACACGCACGCACGGCGCATGGGCGCACGCAACTGCGAGGCTCCTGAAAATGAGCAAGACCCCTCCTGGAAACTTGTTTTGGCTTTCCCGGGGGGAGCTGTCTTTGGATTCCGTTGGGCTCTGGATTCCGTTGGGCCCTTCTTCCGAGTGGCTTTTGTGGACGGCAACAATCAAGTCAAGAATCGATCTGCGGATGCGCGCTCGCACATCACGGATTCCGGGCAAATGCTTATGAAATCAATTGGAGATCCCCTGCAAAATGTGGAACTCCATTAATTATAGGGGTCCCTCATGGATTTTTGTCCCATCCCCTTGCATCCTTTCCTTCGTGGGACTTGACTCATTTTTGGGGCCTGGGTCGAGTTGATCCCTACCAAGCTGCTTGACGCACGAGTGTGCAGGTTGCTTGTTGCAAAATGATTCGCCTGAGTTTCTTTCAGTTTAATGCAACCCCCACAAGGTACCCTATGGTTCCCTTAAAGACACATCCTCCAATATTCGCCAAATGGAGGTAGACCGCCTTCCTTCATACTCGATTATTTGGTTTCGAACTTGTCGCTAAAACTGATCCCGGCGATTCCATGGAAGCTCCCCTTTGGGGAAAGGACTTTCCTTTGCTCCCTTTGCTCAAGTCCCCTGAAAGAAATAACATATTCTCAGCTGTGATAGGTTCCCTTTAAAACCAACAGCGGAGAACACAACACATATTCTTAACCAGCACCCCCCCCCCCCAAACTACCCCAACTGCTCTGTTTTTCCAACCATGTCCCAAATGCCCTTGGTATGGCAACCAAAAAGCAGTGTTTGCATGGATCTGGATGCCGGAAACAAATGGATTCTTTGAGAGGGATGCCCTCGTGGAACCCATGGTCAGCTTCACAAGTTGATTGGTTTGGAGCCGAATCGGCGGTTTGGTTTGCCGTTCCGGAGTGGTTTCCCAATCACCTGGCTGTGGCTCAAAAATGGGTGCCCAAAATGGCACCTTGGTAAATGGAACCAAAGACTAAAGCCTGCGTAACCCTGGCTCTTAAAATTTGAGCCAAACCCACCTTCCGCCAGAACCATAGTTTTAAATCCAAATCCAAACCACCAATCCGAACCACCAAGTAGGGGCTACCTACATGTCCCCCAAAAAGGCCTCGAACAACACACGACAGGAGCCGCTGCCCCACGTTAGACCCAAAGCCCAGCCCATTTCCTCCGATCGAGTGGATTGGTTAAACAAAACAGTCAACACACCTGTTATGTACCACCAAAATAGTCCCAAAGCCAAACCTTGGCAATCAAATCATGGAAGTCTGGTGGACAATTCGGTAGAAGATCCATTGGGATACCAATTACTGTAGTGTCTTATCTGTCTCATACTTTTTAAACAGCTTTCGGGGCTTCCCTTCACAGGAAGGGGGCAACCTAAAACCTACCAAAGCTTTCCCGCAAGAGTTGGTCTCGGAACCTTGAAGCCCGGGAAACCCGGTTCGAAAACAGTCAGCTTTTGCCCCGGGCAAACGTTACTCGGTGGCGAAATCTGCGAAGCCCTGCCAAAAGTGAACAACTTTTAGTGGGATTTGATGGAAAACTCATCAGTTGGCAAAAAGTTAAAGTCCTAACATCCAAGCAAAATGCACCAAAGGCTATACCTGGGTCTTCCAACATGTGCAAAATTATTGCTGTTTTGTCAAAACTACGCTTTTTGACCCAACGGCGATTATTTTCGCCTGCCGGCAGTTTTCAGTGTTTGGACACTCTAGCATCAATCAAAATTGGATAACGGCGTAATTTGCCGTCAAAACGGCGTAATTTGCCGGCGAAACGGCGTTTTTTTTGCCTGGTCACGAGCTGGACTCACGGCGAGTGTTTTTTCTCCGAAAGAGCGTTTTTTTCAGCAACCGGCAAAAAATATTGCTGTTTTCGGAAACGGCGTTAATTTTACATGGTCGGAAGACCTAGGTATATGCCTGATGGTCTGATGGCATATATATCCATCCTCGAGCCTGACATGTGACGAGATGATATCGCAAGAGTGCGCGCTGGAGGCCGGAATCCTACAAGTTCAAACATTGAACCCCTTCTTTGAGTTGGTAAAGGGAATCCAAAGGCGACCAACGTTCTTGTCTGTTGTGCAACCAATTTGCAGCACGACCCCGTGGCCTTTTCTTGGTTGGGGCATTGGGGTATGGGCGGCTATCCGAACAATTCGAGTGCCTCCAATCCGGTGGATTCCCGAGAAACTTGCGATCGCTTCGATAGAATGAAAAATGGAATGACCTCCAACCGTCCAACTGGTGGTTTCCACTACTTTGGGGAATCCGCATATCCGGTTCATTCAACCAACGGAAGCTCGGCAAGTTCCCGCAAAAGCTCGCGCACCAAGCAAGAGCCAGAGCTATCGGGCCCGGGTCCCCGGCAGCAGGTAAGACAGGACCACCGTGAGGAACTTGCGCAGTGCCGACAGCCGGGCCTTTCGATGCGCCGAAAAATCGAAAAAAGATGACAGAAGCCAAGCCGGCGAAGCATGGCGAGCCATTTGACTCACCTTCCAATCGAGTAGATTGGCCTGGTTCTGAACTTTTTGTTTTGCAAAATGGCCAAAATTAAAGGCCTTCCCAGAACTTGGGAAGTGAGTTGAGGAAAGAAGGTAGACTTGAACCCACCAGTTCATTTCCCAGTGGGATTCTTTGTCCACCTTGGGGTTAACCAAATGGACGCCCCTGAGATATTATTTTTGGGTTGGGTGGCTGACAAGTTGTATCACTTCCTGAGTGTTTGCCACAATATGGTCGTCCCCAAACAAGTGACCCGGGGAGATGTTTTTTCTTGCACGGAGGTGGTTTGGGTCTCTCCTTGGTGCTTTGGGTTTGAGTACCCCTGAAATTGGTGTGTTGGACCGCTTGAATGGGAAGCCAAAAACCAAATCGACGACAACATTTTGAGGGTGAGGTTGGCTTAAAGGGAAGCCACAAGGGTTTAAATGGGGTTTAACAATTGGGTCACAGATTGAATCGGACCAAAGAAGCAAAACAAAACCAAACTGTCAAAGGGACAGTGGAACAGTTGGGTTTCAACACCTCTTTGTGGGAAAGCCAAAAGCCCAACCGCTGAGCCCTCCATTCACATCTCCTGATTCAATCAGGGCTGCGGTCCCCCCCCAAACACCGGCAGACTGATTGACGCATGGCTTGTGACCTGGAGTCACGACCAAGATTCAGTGCCCGACTGACATTGGAGTTTGGATCCAAAACTGTACGTCAAAGGCTGGTTGTATACCCACTCGTTTTGATTCGGGACCGTTTGGACACCCATTTTACATGGGCTTAACTTTCCAGCCATGGAAATTCTCCCAAAAACAATCACAGCGGGCCCCTTTGGATCGTGAGGTCCTGCTTTCAAGTTGGTTCCCGTGGGACATATATGATTTTTGTTCCAGCCTTCCCAGCACAGATCCCAACCCTCTACGCACAAAAAAAACCGACCTAAGGCCGCACTTGGGTCTCTCGAAGTTCTGAAACCTGAAGCCAGGGATTCGCAAAAATTCGCACCTGCATGGTGAGCTCGCCCCTCAAGCGCCGGGGGTGAAATTCTGAAATCGGGAGGTGTTGGAGAGTCCACCGGGCCGTCGGTCGGTTTGCTAAAACCACGGCCTGCGCCACTGCCCCGGCTTCGTTGACCATATGGGTGTTGGCCCACGCCGACATGCCCGTGAGAAAGCCTGACGGGCGGAAAAAGCTTTGGGGGCCGAGCCGAGCAACTCCTCGAATCGGCAACTGCTCGCTGGGTCTGGATGGCTGCAGGATTCATGCGGGTCTCAACATAGAAGCCCAACACACTGTCGGCTGTTCGGCCAGAGTGTGCCGCTCGAACCTCGTGCCTTTTTCCAGCTTCGCGAGGGGGGATCTACTAGCATAATGCCGGGCTGCCCGTTTTCAGATCCCCTGCGAACAGTTTAGCTTTTGGGTTACAAGGAAAACCCCGCGAAACACTAAAAGGCCAAAAAGCTCAGGGGGTGGCTGGGAGCCACCAAGAATGAACACTCCGTGGTTGGGTCTGTTGAGGGAAGGACCCTTACCCTGGGTTTACAAGCAACCATGGGGAACACTACCCATGCATGACTGCATATAAAGGGTTGTTTGCTGCTTGAGGTAATGACGCTATGATCAATGAGCTATGCTTGGTACCCAAGCTAAGATGGTAGGAAATGTCGGCCCGCTCCCTCCCATAGACAAAACAACATCATCAAAAGGTGATAGCAAATGATTCAGATCCCAGGCCATCGCTTTCAATCAGATTGACTTAATGACACCTGCTTCGGACTGTTCCAAGTGAAGGTTTCCCAAAGTAGTTGAGAGTAAAAGAAGCCTGGTCTACCTAAAAGCATGTAACGAACTAAGAGGGCGCTCGCACCTAATTCTGATAGGGACTGCCCCTTGCTAGCCTTCATTCGCTTGCTGACTTCCTGAGTGGACGGGCCAACAAGAATCAAATCCATGAACTCAGGAAGTGAGCTCAACCCGGGTTTTGATTGAGCCACAATCAGGTCATCCCCCCAACAAGACTCCCCGAGCCACGTCGTTTCGCCCAGCAACCGTCCCAAAGGCCCATCTCATGTTTGGTTGCGTCTATTGTATATATGTTCCAGGCCGTGGACCCCCCCCCCCCTCCCCCCCCCCCCCCCCCCCCCCCCCTTCTGTGGGGGTGGGGTGGGTGGTGGGGTGGTGGTGGTAGGGTGGTGGGGTGGTTGGGTGGTTGGGGTGTGGTTCGGAGTTGGTTTAGGCTTGGTGGGTTGGTTTAGGGTTGGTTGAGGGTTGGTTCAGGGTTGGTTTGCGGTGGGTTTCGGGTGGGTTTGGGGTTTGGGTTGATTTAGGCTTAGGGTTGGGGTTAAGGAGGGGTTGCAGGGTGGTTTGGTTTAGGGTAGGATGTTGCGAGAGGTGCGGGGGTGTTGGTTCACGGGGTGAAAGGGGGAGTCTGGGACCGAAGCTGCAGGGCTCACACGGTACTGGACAGCATCCCCAGCATTGCCAGCATCATCCCCAAGATGCGGATGATGCGGGGGAGTGGGGGGACCATACCATTGGGGGGGCGGGGGGGGGGGGGCTACGTGGCCCAGGGACTGGTACATACATATATATATATATATGTATACACGTGGTTTTTCCCTGTGAAGCCAATCCAAAAAGGGGACCGATTTCTATGCTGACAAAGACCCCAGAAGCCTATATATGTATATATGTACAAATGTACATCATTTTCTAGGGAAACATGGTTTTTGGGGTCCCCACCTGTTTTGACTCAAACCCATATGACGCGTTGATTGATCAATCGCAACGTGTTTATCCCCCCTGCAAATTGACATGGTTTTCCACGAAACCATCCAGGTTCATTGAGGAATTTCCCTTTGAATAGCCCCTTGATTGGGGGGTCGATGATCATTTACAGTGGAGTGTCTGTTGGCGGAGGGGCCCTCTTTTGCGGTTTCACCCCAGCAATTCGTCCCTTGGCATCCCGAACAATGAGCATTGCAGCATTGGCCATCTCACCAGTCGGGCATCTCACCAGAGAAACTGCAACAGAATCCCATGGCGTCCCAGGAATTTCGTCTAAGGATTGCCCTCTGCACAAATAACATGGAGCCTCACAAGGGGCCCCTCGAAGACCATTTCCTTTGGTGGGTTCCATGGCAACGTGGACCGGAGGGTATATCCTTCGTCAGGAAACACCATTCTTGTCACTGGTAGGCACAAAGGAGTTGGTGCTGCTAGTAGCGACCAGTTCTGCATATGCGGGCAGTGACGATCATGATCTGGTCTACGGACCACGCACCAAATTCAATAGGTTGCGTCTTTGCATGTGTTATTTGTGTACTCGACACCATGAGCATCAGCATTGCTGTATTGATCACTTTGAGCAACTCAGCCGTGGCAGCAAAGTCCAGCTAGGAGAACAGACCGAGCAGTTGCATATAACCACAACCTTTCTAAGGGAACTCAACACAAGACAACCCTTCGAACCAATTCGCTTGGGGCACGTCAGCACCGGGCAAAATGATCTTGCAAGGCTCCAACTGCCAAAAAAACCCTTTCATGTATCATGGGGGCTGGGGGGGAGGGAGGGAAGGGGGAGGGAGCCCAAAACAGCCCTTATTAAGCCCTTAATCAGGCCTTATTTTAGGGCACTATATTTGGGCTCCCTCCCCCCCCCTCCCTCCCCCCCAGCCCCCATGAATGCAGGGTATAAGCCACCAGCCGCTCTGAACCGGGCTCCAGCTATCAGTCGCAGCTTCGACCTCGCGACCTTTGAGACCTTTGAGTGGCAAATCGGATCAGAAGGGCCGAAAGCTTCCATGCAATCGAGTGTGAAAAACCGCGACCTTTTCAACTTCGAGAGCGCATGAATCAAAGATACATCCCTTCCGGCATTTGGCTGTGGCTCAAAAAAGTGGTACTAGAATGGCCCCTTGGTAAATGGAACCAGAGACTAAAACCTGCCTCTTAGTTTTTGAGCTATACCCCAAAACCATGGCAAAGACCTGGCGCCAGGAAGGTTTGCGATGTGCGACAACTGTCCCGAACCTTCGAATCTTACCCAGTCATCATTCTTCCACCCCTGCAGTAGTGATAGTTTCCTTTTAACACCAACTAAGGAACATTTTTTAAAAGCAACTGGAAGTAACCAGAAGGGTGCCCCTATTGTTCTGCGGCTGTGAGAAACATCGGACAACCCCCAAACGAATTGCCCTTGTGAATGCCAGGACTAAAACCTGCGGCGCATATCCTGGCTCCAATTCTGACCCATCAGGGGGACAAAAGCACCACCAGATTTCAGGCCAAGCATGTACTAACTTCGGGTGCGCCTCTTGGCATATCCACAAGAGCTCACCAGCTTCTAACAAAAAAACAAAAACTAAAAATTCTGACCCCCGCTCCACCACCCTTAGGCCTGTTCCAATAGTGTTTGTTTCATATCTAGAAAAAGTCATCCTAAACTTGGTTGTTGACCCCTCTACAACAGGTTTAACTCTTTGTGGGTCCAATCCGGAAAATCCGAGCTGTTTCAACCAAAAAGTTGAAGTCCAAAGATCCGTTACCAAACAGCCATAAACTTCCAATTGCTTAAGTCCCCTGGAAAAAACACATCAAACGTACCGTCGATACAGTCGTGATAGATTGCCACAAAACCAGCAAGGGAAGCTACAAAATGGGTACGGGTCAAAATGTTCACCCGCCGCAGCAGGCTTTAGTCCTTGGTTCCACTTCCCAGGGTCCATTTGGGGCACTTCTTGACCAGCCAAATATTCATTTCAGCAAATGGAAGCCAAGTTCAAACCGCCCCCAGCCCTCCATAGGTGTCCTGTTTGGGGAAATAGATGGCCCTGGTGGATGATTAAACCACCAGGTAAACCAGGGCCATCTATCTTGTTAGCAAAACAACCCAAAAGGACACCTATGCATCCCTCCCTTTGGTTCGGCTGGAAAAGCGCCTGTTCCAAGGATGTAGAAGATGATCTTCGGTCCCAAGGCGAAAAGCATCGGCAGCGCGTTGGTGCTCAGCAGCAGCACCACGCTGGCCACGAGGCCCACCACGTTCTGGCGCCTAAAGGATGTTTCAGGTTCAACCATCGCTCTTTTCAAACACGGGCTGTTTCTGCTGGGTTTTTGATGGTTTCCTGAAAAGAAGGATCCCTGGAAAGAATCGGGAAGGTACCCCTAGAAACATAGGAATCGGTTCCCTAGAATGGGTGTGTCTATTTATTAGGTTGGACGCCCCAAGATGGAACTTGGCAAGCCTGTTGGTTTCCGTTCAGATGCCCCGCTAAAAGTGAGTTTCACTTTGAGTGGGTCAGTGTTTTTTGGAAATCCAACCACTAAACACTAAAAATATCCAAAAAGCAAAGGAACCGGATGGCCGGGAGCCGCGGAGGGACAAGGGGCTTCCACTTTGAGAAGCTTTTGAGGGTACCCTTTTGTTGCGGCTTTGGAAAACCAAAAGGCGAACCGAAGACAGTTAGGGGTCTCGAAGGACACACCCACATGGGGCCTGAACCGGAAATAGTCCACACCGAAAGCCCGCAGCCAGTTTCATACAAACGCGAGGGTGAAGTAGACTTTCGCCTGGAAAGTTGTTCCTTTCCTTCCTGCGATGCTGTACTTCATTCCCATCCGACGATCACATGATCGAATAGGGGCTCCCCTGCGCTTCTCAGTAAAAAAATCAAATGTCCTTGGGGATTTGCATGGGTTTCACGCTGAGAGGAAAAAGTGGCAACCCGAAAAAAGCGCTTTCCACGCCAGTGGAACCTAGCGGCTCAACATCCATGGTCCGTTCAAAGCTACCACCAAAAGAAGCCAACAAACATTTACAGTCTCATGTCCTCAGCCCCCCCAAAAAAAAACGAACTCAGGGAGGCAGCAGCGTGAATCTAGATGGCCAAATTCTTCCCCTAGAGCCCAGTCAACTTCCCAGCCGGAATCGCGAATCTTCCAGAATCACCCTCCAGAAATCCGTCAAATTGCCCCAGCCAAATTGACCCTAGAAACGACCCAATTGCAGACGCTAGGGCTTCGCTTGGCCCCAGTCCGCTGCCCTTCTGCTCTCAGACTGCATCTTGGAAACCCCTTTGCGGCGCCTCAATCCAATTTGGGGATGTGTGGAACATGGGGGCATTTGCGCTTTTCCTCGTGGTCCGTCGCTAAAAAAACAATTCGAAACCCACACCCTGACTGGAAATCCTGGCTGATGAACATGGGAAAGCTCTAGTTAACACAAACAACAACGGCCAGATTAGACCTGGTTGCTGTTGACCCCTCTGCAAAAAAGTTTAACCGTTTGTGAGTGCAATGGAAAATTCGCTGTCTCCCAAAAAGTTAAAGTCCGAAGATCCAACCAACTAATTAGCCTCGGTTGCTTTCTGCTCCCCTGCTAAAAGCTTAACTTTTAGTGGTCTAATGGAAAACCCACTAGTTGGCAAAAGTTAAAGTCCTAACATCCAAGCAAAATGCACCAAAGTAGCCAGAAGGTAGATGCAGCCAGGGCACAACATCAGGGAGTTGGGCGAGATATGCTCCTCCTGCATCATCTTCTGTTGTGCGTTTACGGCCAAGGTATCGCTGAGTGATGCTCCCAGCAAGCAGATCACACCTCAAGCAGGCCGCTTGCTACGTGGACAGACTTGATGCTGAAAACACGCCCGCAAAAACTACAAAACTGAAAACAACATGGAGATTTGCGGGGCACACCACCCACTTGTCCAAACCAACATGTAGAGGTTGAAGACGAAAAGAACGAAATTCATTCAAAAAAAGCCGAGACACCCAGGATTGTTTTAGAAGCAGGAGCATCCGTCGTTCCAGAGCCTCGGCAGGAGCCGGAAGAGATGGCGATTCTCGTCCTGCCCCATTGACTGGTTGCTGAGTGGGTGTGGTGTGTCTTCTTTTGGCGCACACCCCCCCCCCAAGAAGGGAGGCGTTCCTTGTGTTTCTTTAAAAAGGGTCTGTGTCTGTGTCTGTGTCTGTGTCTGTGTCTGTCTGTCTGTCTGTCTGTCTGTCTGTCTGTCTGTCTGTCTGTCTGTCTGTCTGTCTGTCTGTCTGTCTGTCTGTCTGTCTGTCTGTCTGTCTGTCTGTCTGTCTGTCTGTCTGTCTGTCTGTCTGTCTGTCTGTCTGTCTGTCTGTCTGTCTGTCTGTCTGTCTGTCTGTCTGTCTGTCTGTCTGTCTGTCTGTCTGTCTGTCTGTCTGTCTGTCTGTCTGTCTGTCTGTCTGTCTGTCTGTCTGTCTGTCTGTCTGTCTGTCTGTCTGTCTGTCTGTCTGTCTGTCTGTCTGTCTGTCTGTCTGTCTGTCTGTCTGTCTGTCTGTCTGTCTGTCTGTCTGTCTGTCTGTCTGTCTGTCTGTCTGTCTGTCTGTCTGTCTGTCTGTCTGTCTGTCTGTCTGTCTGTCTGTCTGTCTGTCTGTCTGTCTGTCTGTCTGTCTGTCTGTCTGTCTGTCTGTCTGTCTGTCTGTCTGTCTGTCTGTCTGTCTGTCTGTCTGTCTGTCTGTCTGTCTGTCTGTCTGTCTGTCTGTCTGTCTGTCTGTCTGTCTGTCTGTCTGTCTGTCTGTCTGTCTGTCTGTCTGTCTGTCTGTCTGTCTGTCTGTCTGTCTGTCTGTCCGTCTGTCTGTCTGTCCGTCTGTCTGTCTGTCTGTCTGTCTGTCTGTCTGTGTGTCTGTGTGTCTGTGTGTCTGTGTGTCTGTCTGTCTGTCTGTGTGTCTGTGTGTCTGTGAGTGTGTGTGTTTTAAGGGACCCTCCGAACAATTTGACAATGATTTGGTGTCCTTTTGGTTTCCACTTAAAACCAGCAACAAGAACGGGGTACCCTCAAAACAAGGCACACCGTTTTTGCTTGTGTGATTTTTGCAGCGGAGAAGGAAGGCCAAAGGCCCATTTGGGGGGGTTTGCTTTATTCTTGGCAAATACCAAAATTGGCCGGGGAGTGGGTAACTCCATCCATCCACATACCCGATTTGTGGGGTCGCCCTATTTTGGCACATACCGCAGGGAGTGGGTAACTCCACCTGCCACCCGATTTTTGATGGGTGTGGTCTCTACCATCCATACCATGGAACCTGAGGGTCTAGGGGTACCTTCCATGTCCATTCTAAACCCAGGCATCCGGATCAGAGGAAAAACCCACCCACAAACCGAGGGGGAAATGGATCAGGTTTTTGAAAAAACGATGGTTGAAAAGAATGGAACAGGAATCCACCAGCGCTCCAGGGCCTAAAGGCTGAAGGCTGACATGGCAACGTGGACTGGAGGCTGAAGCTTTTTGGGGTTCAACGGGGGAAGCTTTCTGCAGGAAAACCGCAGAGTTTGGAGGGGTGCCCTCATTTGGAGATGGGTGAAATTTAGAGGATCGGGATATGGACCGCAGGAGGTTGAGTCCATGTTTCCATTTGTACCAGGGCAACCCATTTTGGGGTTACCCTATTTTTGAGCCACACCTATTCGGGCTTGTCTTTTTTGAGGGAAGCCCTTCCTGCGTCACACAAGCACGGACGCACGCACGCACGCACGCACGCACGCACGCACCCACCCACCCACCCACCCACCACACACACACAACCACACACACACACACACCCTTTCCATTTGCTTAAGCCCCCTGGAGAAAAAAAAGACGCCAGAAGTAGTGAAATCCAATCCCCCCCAAAAAACAAAACAAAACAGGTGAACACAAAAGAACTCTCATTTCAGAAAATGGACGACACACACACACACACCCATCAACTCAGCAACTCCGCGCTCTGATTTCACTTTCAGAGCCCCCGGGCCAAAAGAGAACGCCAGATTGCCCACCTCGGACGTGCAATGAATGTGACGCTCGTCTTAAGCTGAACTCCCCTCATCCAACCAAAAAAATGGGTTGTTTGTCCTGCTTGTCCTGTTCGTTCTCCTTTAAAGCCACAAACGACTCAAGAAAGACGAGCCGCCCATTGTAGGTGAAGGCACAACATGAAATTGACGCAGGTCTCAAAATGTCCTCAAGCCTTTTTGAGGTCTTCCCAGTCTTTCTGCGAGAGTTCCACACGGGGTTGCAGGATCGTTGGGGTGTAGGCCCACTTTCTGTGAACAAAGCCCAGGAGAATCGCAAACACAAAAGAGTTCAAGCAGACATGGCTTGGAATCCTCATCTTAACTTGGCCCAGGTGATATTCGAAACTGCGGGACGAACATAGGGGCGCCGCGGTTCCGGCGAAATGCTCACTCCAAACTCACCCTGCGGGTGCTTCGCCTCCAGATCATGGCCGGCACCCCAAAAACCATGCCTCATGCCTGGAAAGCGCTGACCGACTTCAAATGGGCAACCAACATGCTGTATGTCGTCCAAGACTGGGTCGTGCTTGTGGACCTTGCAAAAGCTCAACATGCAGGTGTTGTTTGTGGAGAAGCTGGCATACTTATCCAAAAAAGTTCAAGGTCAAACTGAAGGGATACCAAGAAAAGGAACATATAGGATGCCCCCCGTCGAAAACCCACACAACACAGTCTTTATCAGCATTGACCAGCTCGAACATGGCCAGCTCAAGTTTGTCTGGAGATATATGGAGCCCCAAAACTCGGCGTTGGTGTCCATTTGGTTTCCAGAACGAGAACAGCACAAACAAAAGTGGTACCAACAAAGTACCATCCAAAAAACACCCCATTTATAATTCGCTTTAGAGATACGGGCGGTTGTCAACAATTCTGAGTCAAACATGTCCCCACTATAAAAGAGGGCTCCTCCAGACATGTCCCTTTGAACATCTTTGAACATTACCCCGCCACAAGGAACTCGTTTCAAACTAAACGGTGATGTTTACAACCCCCATGCGGCTCATGACATGAGAAAGCCACTTGTGGCATTGGGGCGCGTCCACTTGTGCTGCCGTGCCGCGCAAAGGAGGAATGCAACAAAATACCTGGGCAGGTCAAAATGTTCCGCAACTGGATGGCTGACGGTCTTCCAGGGCAGCGCACAAAAACTGCTTTTGTGCTTTTTTGAGGGCCCACAAATTGTGGATTTCCATTTGGTCACACCCGGTTTCCCTATAAACCGCAGCAAAACCGACCAGTACCTTCTAAACAAAAAACACTCTGGAAGAAAGCAAAGAAAGAAAGAGCAAAAACACAAACAGTTCGGGGCCGATCCAAATGACTTTGAAGCAACTATGGAACATTGGAGTGCTGTTGCTTTTTCCGGGAACCCTCAGTGGTCTTAACGTGAAACCAATGGAAGCCAACCTTTTAAGCTTCCCCGCCACATCAAGCCAACTAAGGTCGCTGAATGCCAATCGAAAAACCTACTTTCATTTTTGCCCCCTAATTGGCGGTTTTGAGCCCGGCGGTTTGATGGCAAACTGGTGGTTTGCCAGTTACCCAATACAGAAGCTGCAGTAAACCATCAACAAGGCTTGCCTGATGGAAGGGGTGGCTACCTTGCTGCGCACCTGTGCGGGGATTTCATCCCTACGTTCGACGCTTCCTGTCTGGGCCATTTAGGTTGATCTCAGGGACGTCTGACGCTCGCGGACAAACTGCGCCAGCCAACTGTGTGAGCCAACTGTCCGTACAGATGGCCGCATTGAAGCGCCACACTGGAATGGATGACATCCTCAGCCTAGACACCATGTTGTGTCATCTTCATGCAAGAAGGCGAAATTCAAAAAATGCAGGGCAGGCAATACCCGACAATCCACATGAAATGCGCGCAGCCCAAGAAAGTAGAAGCCTCACCTGCGATGCGGGGTAGTCCTACTTCCTCAAGCGTCCACTCAGCCAAGCATGGCGTGACAAAAATTGACAGGGCTCCTTTCTAGTTGCAGACGCGCCCCACGCTGCCAGAGCACTTGACCCTCTTGCCGCGCGTATGTAGCAATCAGCGCCTGTGCCCGCCGGAACTGCGTGATGGGGCCAACACGCGTGAGTATCACAATGCCGGGCGCCAACAGACTACCCGCGCCCCAAGTTGCTCCATCACATGGGGCCTGAGCAAAGTGCCGGCCAGTGCCTCGGGACGAAAGTCGCAGAGCTAGTCACAGCGAAACCGCCCACTTGGCCCGGCCGGGCTGATCCAACTCTATGTGCACCGTGTCTCACGCGACTTGGGCATGACGTCTGCGCTGCCCAAGTCGACAGCGCAGCCATGGCGCCAACCGCCCAACCCTATGCGTGCGGGGTGTTGGCTCCCTTAAAATCATTCGACTAAAATCCCCATGTATTATTTGGCCACGGAAGAGCGTGGTTCCAAGTGGCCGATGAAGGCACAGCGGCTCTTATTGGTCGGTGGTTCTATGTGTAGATAGAGAATGTATACATATGATTATGTGTCTCATATATATATATATGTAAAACCGACCTTGGGGATTATTAAAACCAAATGCCCACAGAACGAAGCAAACACGCGCAGAAACACTACCTGCGAGGAAAAGAAAAAAAAACGATTCGGGGTGCCGTGTAAAGGGTACGCCCATGTTCAGCATCACGCTTGCCAGCTGAGTGTAACTCTCAGTGGGCAAATGATGCTAGCCTTTCGTATTCTTCGCAAGGAAAAAATAAGCTCAGGTGATATCCCCAACAGCATGCGGGGCTCTTTTTAGTGTGGTGGAACCCTTGGAACCCTGGTGACACCTTATGTCAGGGCCACCCCGGAACCTTCCAACCTCACACCTGGCCTGGCGCACGCCGAGTGTAAGGTTCAGGCTCCGGAGGTATGGTTGGCGCAGGCCAGGTGTAAGGTTCAAGGCAGGCTTTGGAGATGTAAGGTTCAAGGAAGGTACTGGAGGTGGTCTGGTGACGGCCAGGTGTTTGGTTCAAGGAAGTTCCGGAGGTTCCGGGTGGTCTGTGTAAGGTTCAAGGAAGGTTGCAGAGGTTTCGGGGTGGTCTGGTACAGGCCAGATGTGTAAGGCGCTGCCTTGAACCTGCACCAGACCACCCCGGAACCTGCGGAACCTGCCTTGAACCTTACACCTGGCCTGCACCAGACATCCCCGAGTTCTCCGGAACCTTGCTCGAACCTGACTCCAGAGCTCCCCCAAGCCACCCCCAAACCTTATCTCCCAAACCTTATCTGGGCTGAGACCCCTTCAGCTTTCAGCTGTCGGGGAGAAAAAAAAACCGACCCCTCCCCGCCTCCCCCGCTCCGAATGTTGGGTCTGGGGCGTCTTGGGTTTTGGGAAAGGCCGATGGCATGGGCCGAGGGAATGGAGCCGGGCCGAGGAGCTCGTCCCGCCGGAATCTCCGGCTGTTTCCCACCATGGCAGCCACCGCCATTGCCAGCATCAGCTTGGACGACTTGATCGTCACCTGCCCGGTCTGCGTCTGCCCGGTTCGTCTGCCCTGTCTGGGCTCTTGGTTTCTGCAAATACCGACTAAGAGGCGGTCCACAATTTTGAGAAACACTGAAATAGTGGCTGCCTGAAGAATTGGCTGTCGCCAGTTATTAGTCACAGGGTCCATTTTTAGAGAGGTAGAGAGGATTCCTTTCTTCCGGGTGACCCACTGATTGCTACTTGGACTTGCTTTTTCTTTCTCAGCTGGGTCAACCAAAATTCGCTCATGTGCATGGCCGGGCCATGCCGGGTCCTGTTTTGCTCCGAGAGGGGGGCCCATTAGGGCCCAATACTTATTCAGATTCTGCTGCGAATTTGGTCAACGCTAAATAGGACAAATGTTGGCAGGAGACCCTACTGATGGTCGCCTCTCACTAGTACAGGGCTTTGGTTGCCATGGCTTCCTTCGCGTCTTCCTTTCATTCCACGTATTCGCACCTTACTTTTCAGTTGGAATGATTTGGAATTCTTCCCTGAAGGATGTTTCTCAGACTGGGAAGATGACTCTCTTAATTCCTCGGCCTCAATAACCCCTCAGTTCCCGGCTCGAGGTTTTGCTGGGAAGATGGAACCATTTGAGCGGTGTGGACCCTTTTCAGTTTGGCTAAGAAAAAGGCGCTGGAGTTCTAGTTTACCAGCGTCACCGATTTTCTCCAAATGGAGACCCCACTGAGCGGCCTTCAGGGTTGATCAACGGATGCCATTTTTGTTTCACCCCTTTTTTCTGTCTTGATTGAGGGGGCCCTTTTTGCTCTGTCTCAAACGGAAACCAAAGTAAAACCAGAACCAAGACAGGCCCTTTTCAACAACAGTCCAACTTCACGTTGGCACTTTTCTGAAAGGATCACTGAAAGTGGGGGTTTGTCACAAACCAAAACCTTCCGCATGGGTACAACTAGCTTTAAGGATCAATAAACCAACGGAATTGCATTTCTGCCCCATAGAGAATCAAGCGTCGTATGGGGGAACCCTCCCCAAAAAATGAACCCCCCTGGAATCCATCGCCCCACCCCAAAACCCGTCCTTGACGAAAACGCGCCGCCGGCACGCGGCGAAACGGTGGCCAAAAAATTCAAAACCCGAGCCTTGAGCGGGTACTGCACCCAGGAGACCGCCAAATTCGGCAGCCCGGTGCCAATCAGAAGCCTTCGAATCGCAGAAGCCATGGCCATTCGAAACCTTCTGGGCGAACCCCCAGCTCTAAGTGGTTCAGCAGAAACGACGAAACCGACTAAGCTAAAATATAAAGGAACCGAATGGGGAAACACCAAGCCATTCAAAGGGCACAATGACACTGGAAATGGAATTCCAGGGATTGGAGTCCTTCCTCCAAACTTAAAAAAGCATTCTCAGGCATGGGTTTTGCAGGTATAGAGGTTATATACCAATTGGGGTACATACCACTACAAGCTTGTCTTGGTGGTATACAAACCATCCACACCTCCAAAACCCATACCATGCCCTGTCAGATCCATGTTTAAGAAAAGTGGGGAACACACTTTTCCACAGTGCTCCAAAGAATTCTCCCAGCAACCCTTAGCAGGTGGCTTGGATGGGTAATTTGAGGAATTCAACCCCTGGTTCTTGTATCAAACTTCAACTGGGAAACCACCCCGGGAATACCACCAAACCACCAGGCTCCAAACCACCAATTAACGCAAAACATCCCCAACCTCTCCAAGAGTTAGGCGTGCCATCTGGAAAGCATCGAACATGACCCAACCCCGTTTGGGTGCGAAACATATCGGCTAGTTAAAGCTGATTCCTGTCCATATCTGAACCCTGATATAAAAATGTTCGCGGAGACCCCAGCAATATTGCGAGAGAACAAGGTAAGCCCTGCAATTTACCGCAAGATCTGGTCATTCGACGTAGGACCTTCCATTTGGAATTTGCTCCCCCCCCACCCCCCCCCTCCCCCCCCTCCCTCCCAAAAACAATCGTCCGTTTCAAAAAGAGAAAAAGCGGCCGTGGCCAAGGAGCAGCGTGGACAGCTTCAAGTAGGGCCGCCAATAGCGGAATCCCGCTCTGCGCCGTTGGCCGTCGCCGAGGCTTCGGTCCGTCAAGGTGCCTCGCGGCCACAGAGCCACGAGCGCGAGGCAAACGCGAGGCAAACGCGAGGAGAGTCTTTGAAGGAGAGGAGGCTGCGGCGGGAAAAATGGGACTCCAAGCTTTCCCAAAGGAAAGCCACAGCTGAAATGGCTTCGGTTTCTGAGGCTCCGGCGGGAAAAACAACTTGCACCTTTGGAGGGAGAACTGCAATGTTTGGATGTTTGGTCCTCTCAAAGTGAAGGGCCTCTGAATGGCCAGGTTTTGTTGGTGTCGCGCTGAGCCATCCAAGGCATCCCTATTGTGAGACACTCAGCAAAAATATCGAAAAGAAGAAGTCAAAAGGAAACCATTGCCATGTGGAGGGGTCCAACTTGTTTGGACTCATCCCCAAATTCGGACACCGACCACGGGGAGCAGCGTGGTTTCTGCATTTCCAGGTGCTTTCCCGAAATGATCGGGGGGACGGGGGGATAAAGGTCCATGGATTTGAGGGTTTCCGGCTAAAACAAGGGACCCTGTGAATTGTCGGGTGCCCTTGAAGCCTGAAATTGCCCTCTATTCTCGAAAAGCGGGGGGGGGGGGGTCGTATGCCTCGGCATGTCCGTCCACCTTGCAGCATGTTGCAGCACAACTCCGCCACGGTGGTGAATCTGGGAGGTTATGTTGCGCCGTTTCCTTAAGCGTTTTGTGAGCCCGTTCAAGGAAAACTCTGCAAAGCAGGGCAGCTGAATTTGTTTCTCTTTCCTGCCACTGGCTGGTGCTTGGACTCGGATTCGCGGACATGTCTTTGCTTGTTCATCGAATCTTTTCCCCTAACACAGCTTTAGGCGTTACTGACACATCTGCACGTCCTCTTCAACCTGAACAAGTAAGGGACCTTCATGCCGAGGACCCAAGGCTTCTTGTTTGACTCGGTGGTGGTAGAGCAGCGGTGCGACAAATAAATTGGGCGGCCAAGCTCAAAAAGAATGCCACGACCCGGCGGTCAAGCAGGGATTATGAGTCAGCTGCGTTCCCACGGGCTGTTGGTTCAGTGCCTCTGACCGAAGAATTGGCACCGGGAAAAGGGAGTTCATGTGGGGGTTGATCAAAGGTCCGATAAACATAGGATGACCATTGGGACAACCACCAGGTCGCGCTAAACCCCATGTTCATTCAAAGGCCGAACGGAACATGGATCCACCACCATGTGTTTTCTGGTGGGGAAGCACCAAACAAAGGGATTAAGGGATCCCTCCTACACAACCGGGCCCAGCACCCCACTGGCTTCGCACGTCAGGCCTCCCATGAAGCTCGCTATGAGGCAACACCCGAGGAACCTCAGTATGGAAGCAGCCGTGCGGGTCAGGAAAAGTGCGGAAACTGAACTGCCAATAATAATAAGCATAATAATAAGAAGAATAAATAATAATAATTATAACAATAATAATAATAATTATCATAATAATAGGAATGAATAGTAATAATTATACATATAATAATAGTAATAATAATAATAGTAATAGTAATAATAATAATTGTAATGGTAATAACAACAATAAAAATAATAATAATAGTAATAATAATAATAGTAATAGTAATAGTAATAATAATAATGATAATAATAATAATAATAATAATAATAATAATAATAATAATAATAATAATAATAATAAAATAATAATAACAATAATAATATGACAATAATATATGTGTTTATCTTTTAAAAAACAAAAAAACGGCTTCCTTCTGGTTTCCCCAAAGCTTTCAACAGAAGTGGTTGATTCCCATACATGACGTGCTAAACCCCAGCCAACTTCCCTCTTTCGGTAAAAGCGGGTAGGCTACCCCGCTTGTAGACCCCATGGGGTCATTTTGTTCTCTCGTGGCCCACCTCGCGGCGCTCGAGCCCCGAGCAATGCGGAATTCAACTCATGAAGGCCGCATTTGCTTCGTCGCTTCAGCTTTCGTTTGACACTCTCTGACAAACAAACTGGCCAAAATCCGGATCGCAAAAATCATATGACCTCTCAACCAACCTCCTTTCTCTCTTTCCCTCCCTTGGAGAGAAAAAAACACTTCCGGGGAAAGAAGAAAGGGGGGAAAACCGGTCCGCCCAGCCCGGTTCCGCCGCCAACCGCCACCTGGGACTCCGAGAAGCTCCCCGAAGGTGAGCCCCAGCGCCAACGCGCCGCCGGAGCCATGCCTTGTGGCGCTCTCCAACCTAAGGACCACGAGGGACCCGAGGCCCGAAGCGCGGCGCGGCGGGGACCCGCCGGAAAAACTGTTCTCAAAGTTATGAGGTTCTTTCTGCATGATTTTCCAAAAAAAAAAACGGGGACCATTCGGTTCTATCCCAAACTCTAGGGGTTGATTTTCCTTGTCCATCCTTTTCCAAAAAAACGGCCCGTTCTTTTCCATCTGTCCATTCTGTTCCATTCTCGGGGAGCCCCAACAAAGAAAGAAACAGACCAAAACTCTAGGGGTTGATTCCTTTTCCACTATTTTCCAAAAAAAAATGCCCATGCTTTTCCATCTGTCCATTCTTTTCCATTCTCGGGGAGCCCCAACAAAGAAGGGGTTGATTCCTTTTCCATTCTGTTCCAAAAAAATGGCCCATTCGTTTCCATCTTTCCATTCTTTTCCATTCTCGGAAAGCCCCAACAAAGAAGGAAACAGACCAAAACTCGAGGGGTTGTTTCATTTTCCATTATTTTCAAAAGAAATGGCCCATTCTTTTCCTTTTCCATTCTCGGGGAGCCCCAACAAAGAAGGAAACAGACCAAAACTCTAATAGGTGATTCCTTTTCCATTCGTTTCCAAAAAATTGCCCCATTCTTTTCTATCGTTCCATTCTTTTCCATTCTCGGAAAGCCCCAACAAACAAGGAAACAAACCAAAACTCTAGGGGGTGATTCCTGTTCCATTCTTTTCCAAAAAAACGGCCCGTTCTTTTCCATCTGTCCATTCTGTTCCATTCTCGGGGAGCTCCAACAAAGAAAGAAACAGACCAAAACTCTAGGGGTTGATTCCTTTTCCACTATTTTCCAAAAAAAATGCCCATGCTTGTCCATCTGTCCATTCTTTTCCATTCTCGGGGAGCCCCAACATTCCTTTTCCATTCTGTTCCAAAAAAATGGCCCATTCGTTTCCATCTTTCCATTCTTTTCCATTCTCGGAAAGCCCCAACAAAGAAGGAAACAGACCAAAACTCGAGGGGTTGTTTCATTTTCCATTATTTTCAAAAGAAATGGCCCATTCTTTTCCTTTTCCATTCTCGGGGAGCCCCAACAAAGAAGGAAACAGACCAAAACTCTAATGGGTGATTCCTTTTCCATTCGTTTCCAAAAAATTGCCCCATTCTTTTCTATCGTTCCATTCTTTTCCATTCTCGGGGAGCCCCAACAAAGGAGGAAACAGACCAAAACTCTTGGGGGTGATTCCTGTTCCATTTGTTTCCAAAAAATTGCCCCATTCTTTTCTATCGTTCCATTCTTTTCCATTCTCGGGGAGCCCCAACAAAGAAGGAAACAGACCAAAACTCCAGGGGGTGATTCCTTTTCATGCATTTTCTAAAAAAATGACCCATTAGTTTCCATCTTTCCATTCTTTTCCATTGTCGGGGAGCCCCAACAAAGGAGGAAACAGACCAAAACTCTAGGGGGTGATTCCTTTGCCATTCTTTTCAAAAAAAATGCCCATTCTGTTCCATCTTTCCATTATTTTCCATTCTCGGGGAGCCCCAACAAAGAAGGAAACAGACCAAAACTCTAGGGGTTGATTCCTTTGCCATTCTTTTCAAAAAAATACGCTCAGGTGATATCCCCAACAGCATGCGGAGCTCTTCTTAGTGCTCGCAGCCTCCCGCATCTCTCGCAAAACCTCGTGAAACTTTCGTGGAACCCTGGTGGAACCCTCGTGGAACCTTACCTCAGGACCGCCCCGGACCACCCCGGACCCTATCTGGGCTGAGACCCCAAAGCTTTCAGCTCTTGGGGAAAAAGGCCCATTCTGTTCCATCTGTCCATTCTTTTCCATTCTCGGGGAGCCCCAACAAAGAAGGAAACAGACCAAAACTCTAGGGGGTGATTCCTTTTCCATTCTTTCCCAACAAAATGGCCCATTATTTTCAATCTGTGCATTATTTTCCATTCTCGGGGAGCCCCAACAAAGGAGGAAACAGACCAAAACTCTAGGGGTTGATTCCTTTGCCATTCTTTTCCAAAAAGATTGCCCATTCTGTTCCATCTTTCCATTATTTTCCATTCTCGGGGAGCCCCAACAAAGAAGGAAACAGACCAAAACTCTAGGGGGTGATTCCTGTTCCATTCTTTTCCAAGAAAATGGCCCATTCGTTTCCATCTTTCCATTCTTTTCCATTCTCGGGGAGCCCCAACAAAGAAGGAAACAGACCAAAACTCTAGGGGGTGATTCCTGTTCCATTTTTTCCAAGAAAATGGCCCATTGTTTTCCATCCGTCCATTCTTTTCCATTCTCGGGGAGTCCCAACAAAGAAGGAAACAGACCAAAACTCTAGGGTGCGATTCCTTTTCCATTCTTTTCCAAGAAAATGGCCCATTCTTTTCCATCGTTCCATTATTTTCCATTCTCGGGGAGTCCCAACAAAGAAGGAAACAGACCAAAACTCTAGGGGGTTGATTCCTTTTCCATTCTTTTCCAAAAAAATGACCCATTCTTTTCAATCTTTCCATTATTTTTTCCATTCTCGGGGAGTCCCAACAAAGAAGGACACAGACCAAAACTCGTGGGGGTGATTCCTGTTCCATTCTTTTCCAAGACAATGGCCCATTCTTTTCCATCCGTCCATTCTTTTCCATTCTCGGGGAGCCCCAACAAAGGAGGAAACAGACCAAAACTCTTGGGGGTGATTCCTGTTCCATTCTTTTCCAAGAAAATGGCCCATTCTTTTCCATCGGTCCATTATTTTCCATTCTCGGGGAGTCCCAACAAAGAAGGAAACAGACCAAAACTCTAGGGGGTGATTCCTGTTCCATTCTTTTCCAAGAAAATGGCCCATTCGTTTCCATCTTTCCATTCTTTTCCATTCTCGGGGAGCCCCAACAAACAAGGAAACAGACCAAAACTCTAGGGGGTTGATTCCTTTGCCATTCTTTTCAATAAAAATGACCCATTATTTTATTTTCCAACCCAACAAAGAAGGAAACAGACCAAAACTCTTGGGGGCTGATTCCTTTTCCATTCTTTCCCAACAAAATGGCCCATTATTCTCCATCTGTCCATTCTTTTCCATTCTCGGGGAGCCCCAACAAAGGAGGAAACAGACCAAACTCTTGGGGGTTGATTCCTTTGCCATTATTTTCCAAGAAAAAGGCCCATTCTGTTCCATGTTTCCATTCTTTTCCATTCTCGGGGAGCCCCAACAAAGAGGGAAACATGCCAAAACTCTTGTGGCTTGATTCCTTTTCCATTCTTTTCCACCATCGTTCTTTCCAAAAGCCGCGTCCGTTTGCGGGTTTCCGGAGGTTTTCTAGAAAGATCCGGATCCCTGGAAAGAATGGGGCAGGAACCCTAGAAACATCCGACTCGCTCCCCCGTGAGAGGGCCCAAGGCGGCCGATTTTTGCTTGTCGTGCGATCGGGAGTGAGACATGCAAAGAATGAATGAGAAAAAAACAACCATCGCTAAGGGGATCCCTGAATTCATGCCCACATTATTTACTGAGCACCAGCAAGTTTTTCGGGGGGTCACACACAGGTTCGGAGGTTGGGTGTGGCCAAAGAAAAACTAAAAAATCAATCAGTGGTGAGTGATGTTGTTGTTGTTGTTGTTGTTTTGTTTAATCCTCCTTCTAAAAACACAGGTTCGGCTCGTTGGTGCCCATCCCAGCTGTCGCACAAAAGAAAATGCCCAAGATGGAAATCTCGCCAACCCAAAGCCGCAATTCGAGGGGACATCCTCGGAGATTGACTCTCTATACCTGGGATATATGTCGTTGTAATCCCTAGCTGAACATCTGTCACAATAGGCATGTGCAGTTGGGTGTTTTGCCTTTCTTTAGTTGGGAACCCTTTGATGGACATGGGCATGGTGGGATTTCTGTCCAACCATTTTGAATCGGCGTTGCAACCATAAACAACATTCGCAGATGAGCAAGCTCCATAAGAATATGTTCCAAAATGTTCCGTCTTCTTTGGCTTTCAACATCCGGTGAAATAAATGGACACACTCCAGGTATCTGTATAATAGGTAACCAAACCAGTCGGACCCTTCAAAAACAATCCTGGAACAGAAAGGGAACCCTTTTACTTCCCGATTGGCTTTGAACACCCGATGAAAAATGGAAACGCTCCATGGATGTACCTGTATAGCAGGTCACGAGCGGCACCCTTCAAAAACAATCCTGGAACAGGAAGGGGACCCTTTTACTTCCCGATTGGCTTTGAACACCCGATGCAAAATGGAAACGCTCCATTTGTGTACCTGTATAGCTGGCAACCAGTCGGACCCTTCAAAAACAAACCTGGAACAGGAAGGGGACCCTTCTACTTCCCGATTGGCTTTGAACACCCGATGAAAAATGGAAACGCTCCATGTATGTACCTGTATAGCAGGTCACGAGCGGCACCCTTCAAAAACAATCCTGGAACAGGAAGGGGACCCTTTTACTTCCCGATTGGCTTTGAACACCCGATGCAAAATGGAAACGCTCCATTTGTGTACCTGTATAACCGGCAACCAGTCGGACCCTTCAAAAACAAACCTGGAACAGGAAGGGGACCCTTCTACTTCCCGGTTGGCTTTCAACATGCGATTAAACATGGAAACGCTCCATGTATGTACCTGTATAGCAGGTCACGAGCGGCACCCTTCAAAAACAATCCTGGAACAGGAAGGGGACCCTTTTACTTCCCGATTGGCTTTGAACACCCGACGCAAAATGGAAACGCTCCATTTATGTACCTGTATAGCAGGCAACCAGTCGGACCCTTCAAAAACAAACCTGGAACAGGAAGGGGACCCTTTTACTTCCCGATTGGCTTTGAACACCCGATAAAAAAAGCAAACGCTCCATGTATGTACCTGTATAGCAGGTCACGAGCGGCACCCTTCAAAAACAATCCTGGAACAGGAAGGGGACCCCTTTACTTCCCGATTGGCTTTGAACACCCAATGCAAAATGGAAACGCTCCATTTATGTACCTGTATAGCAGGCCACGAGCGGCACCCTTCAAAAACAATCCTGGAACAGGAAGGGGACCCCTTTACTTCCCGATTGGCTTGAACACCCGATGAAAAATGTACCTGTATAGCAGGCCACGAGCGGCACCCTTCAAAAACAATCCTGGAACAGGAAGGGGACCCCTTTACTTCCCGATTGGCTTGAACACCCGATGAAAAATGGAAACGCTCCATTTATGTACCTGTATAGCAGGCAACCAGTCGGACCCTTCAAGAACAAACCAGGAACAGGAAGGGGACCCTTTTACTTCCCGATTGGCTTTGAACACCCGACGAAAAATGGAAACGCTCCATTTATGTACCTGTATAGCAGGCAACCAGTCGGACCCTTGAAAAACAATGATGGGACCCTTTGGATGGCGGATGGCTTCCTTGGCTTCCTTTGGATTCAAAATAATCTCCATTCAGGAGGGGGCTCGCCCCAAACCGGAAAGGAAAAAAGAAGAACAAGAAGGGGGGGAAAAACAACGCTAGCTGTTGGCAGACCCCATGGTTCTAAAGCTAGCTGCCATCTAGACGACGCGGGCCGCCCAAAACCCCGGAGCCGATCTCGAGCACGGACCCGTGGATGAGGCAGGGGGAGGAGGAGGGGCACTGGTCGCTTGTCGCTTGCAGCTCCAGCTTCTTCGAGTTCGGCAAAACTTAAACCCCATTGTCCTTGGACCCTAGGTCCTCCAGAGAGGTTAAAACAAGTTGGTACCAACTTTTTTTCCCGCAGTCTATCTTAGTAGCGTAGTAGGGGGGGGGTTCCCCTCCCAACCAAAAAAGGGGGTTAGAAAGGGCACCTAGCTGCGGGGACCCTGAACCCATGCTTCCACTCCTCTCAGAGCGAGTCAGCTCAGGTTCCGGCAGCACTTCCAGCAGCAGAGTGCTACAGAAGGACACCAGGCCGAAGAGGATCACATTCCGGCATGGGGCGGCGGTATAGCTCATGAAGGACGCGAAATGCCCGGATCAGAAGAAGCAAGAAGCAAAAACTGACCCGCCAAAGCTCCTGGACCATTTTTTGGCATCTAAGGCCTGGTGTTTGAAGTGAAGCTACCTGGAGAACGACGGCACAGAAACCGAAATGGAACTGGGAACCGGGTCCAGGACGCGCCCCGTAGCTGAGCTGGCTCTGCGGACAGGGCACGGAGAGTTCTTCAACCACAGTGAGTGCCAAAGTGGAAAGATGAAACCAACACGCGGGTGACCCATGTGGCTTCGTCTTGGTCTCTTTTTAACCTTCCAAAGGAGAGGCCCGAGTCATTGGACATCCTTCAGGGACAGAATCCACACTCCAATTGAGCGTGGTTCTAAAATTGTGCGGGAGCACACGCTTCTCACAGGTGTCCTTTTGGAAAACTGATGGCACCTGGCAGGTTATGAACCCACCAGGTCAACCAGGGACATCTATTGTCTACCAAAACAACTGGAAAGGACACCTATGACTCGTGACCCTGCTCAATCTACTTTTTGGTCAACATCCGCGGCTGCAATGGACGCTCGTTCGCAACTGGTTTCCATGCAGCAACCGCTCAAGCGACAACGCCTGTTTGCGGATGAGAAAACGGTGTTCAAGTGTGCTAAGGCTTTCGTGGGCACTTCCGAGCTTCGCTTTTTCTTTCACAGGGCAGTGGTGGCCGCTGGAAAGCCCAGAAATGGAATCCTGGATGCAAACAACTTGCAGACCTGATAGCGAGTGGGAAGCATGCCAAAAGCCCCTTCGCCAGACCTCTCGCATCCTTTTCCGACCCAGGAAACGCCTGCAATCTGAAGGGAAAGAGGACACCGCAAATACCACTTTTGGTCCTCTTTTCGGAACGACGCGACCCTGTTTCACAATGGGACAATGGCCCGACAAACCAAATCCCTCGTTTCAGGTACCCCTAGCTTTTGGGTGCTTGTGCTTTGGGTGGCATCTCCAAAACCTCCTTAGGCAATAACGTGTTGGCAATAGTTGCCGGTGCCTCCAAGTGAGGGTCCCCCCAAAATTGGGAGGTTTCTCTGAAAGTCTTTTCAACAAGTCATTTGTCTGGGTACCTACTCAAAACATAAACAAAATCCTTGTTTGAACAACACCCACCAACTCAAACAACACACACACACACAACAAACACACACCGCCCTCGCGCAGCATTTTGCTTTCACCCTTGGGGCCACGCTCGTCGCGCCTTTCAGGTCAGGGGTTGAAGCGCCCGGAATCCCGTCGTGTCCTTTTGGAACGACCGCTTGATTCCACCGGAGCTGGGCTGCCCTCAGATCCCCCGCTAAAAGTGAATAACTTTTGGTGGGTTAAATGGAAACTTCCACCCCCTGCAAAAAGTTTAACTTTTTGGGGGTTTTGCAGGAAATTTACTGATTTCCCACAAGGTTAAAGTCTAAAGATCCAACCCAATAGCTGTCAAGCACTAAACACAAGGCTAAAAAGCTAAGTTGAACCGGACACTCAGAAACTACACTGAAACCTTCAAGTGTCGTAGGAGGCCACCGAAGCAACCTTTCCTCTTTCAGAGCCATGCTCTCCGAAAGCTCTGCAAGACGACCTTCACGGGCAGAAGGCGTTCTGCACGCGATTCGAGTCGCGGGATTCACCATCTCCGGACTAGGGCTCAGCCGTTGAAGGCCCCCGAGCGATAGAGCTCCACCTCAGACAGGGCCCAAATCCAGGTAGGCTTCGGGGGAGCGAGGCTCTCTATATGGCCAATGTCCATGCGACAAAAATGGGCCTGGTAGCCTGGCGTGTGGTCCCCCTTTTTGTTGTTTGGAGGCTTCCGTTTGCTTGTAAGTCCCCTAGAAAAGCATGATGCCACGTTGAAGCCAACAGAGGATAATAAAGAGAAATCTTAAGCAAATGAAGAAAGGCAGATGCAAATCACTTGGCGCGTACTTTCTCTGAATTCAAATCTTGCATCCTCAGCTAGTCCATCAAAGTTGATCGCCTCATAATTTTCGTTACCCTGTTCTAACCAAGAGACATCGCCTTTCTTCCGTGGTCCAGCGCACATCGGACCCACTTCGTCCCCAAAAGTTAAGGAAGCCGTTGGCTTCGAGGCGAAGCGTGGCTCACGCGGCCCCGCGAAAGTGAACCCAAGCCTTCCGCATGCGTCCGGTGTGGCACGTTGCGCCTGTTCAATCCTGCCCCTCCCCCAACTTCAGCTTGGCAAAAAAGCCGCCGCAAGTAACACGGCTAAAAGGAATAAACTCAACATAGATCGCAAGTGGCACGCGTGCATGCGACATACACATCTGGCTGTGGGTCAAAACCAATGGGATCCCATTTTGGGGTAGGTGCACCGCCAATTTTAATCTATTTTAGTGGTTGGATTGGTTGATGTTCACTGGGACCATTTGGATTTTGACCCATGGCCATTTTATTCCGTTCACGGGGCCTTGGAGGCCAGGCAGAGGGTGAACCGGCCATGGGATATGCTTCCCTTCGCAATTGGCTGGGTACCTGGTTCCGATTTTCAGAAGCACCGAAATCAAGCAACAGAGCCAGTGTCATTGTTCGCTCGCGGGCATCTGTCAAGCAAAAGCAACCCAGAAAGTGGGCGCGATGCCCTATAACCAGGGTCTTTGCCATAGGTGACCTTTAGGAAAACCGATGGCCCTAGAAAATCGAAAAGAACCAAACTAAACCAGTGCCATCCAACCAAACTAACTTTTTGAACACCACTTTCTACATTCGGAACGGAATTCGGAAGGGGTAGAGAAAGAAGGTGGGGGTTCCTACATCAGTGGCTTCATTTTCGGGTTACATTCAGCCTGGGCGGGACTTGTGCGCATACGGAGAATCGGTTGATGCTCTTTTAGCGAAATTTGTCCACTTGCTGCTGGGTAGATACCCCTGGTATCCCTTGAGATAGATCATTTCTTTCAATGCACACTCAGCATATTGCTGCAACTTTCCATCATGCATCATGCATTGGGGCTGTGGTATATGGCTGGGGGCCAAAAATAGGGTAACCCCAAAATGGGGGAGCCAAGGAAAAAACCACCTGGGGTCCATATCCTGGTGGTTTTTGGTCCAACCCCCAAACAGGTGCCCTTCACAAAAACGGCGCACCCAGATTGAGGCTGTAGTCCCGTCCTTGCCACGGAACCGCAGGCTTGGACTGGTTTCTTTGGTGCATTTTGCTTGGCTGTTAGGACTTTAACTTTTTGCCAGCTTGGCTGTTAGGTCTTAAACCACCAAAAGTTCAACATTAAGCAGGGGAGCAGATTTCGCCACCGAGTTTTCCTAAAGGGAGCCTCTGGTGGGTGGAGGGTTGGAGCTACGTCCCCTTCCACTGGGCTTCCCATGTCCCATTTCGCTTTAAACATCTTGTCTAGAATGTGATCTTCCTGTTGCGGGCTCATGTTTTTTGCCTTGCTTCCCCTGGTGTCCGCTTGATCCAGTGGCCAGTTGCGCTTCAACCTTTTCTCTCTTTTTCTTGTTGTTCCTATAGTCGTTCCTTAGTTTCTCAATGGGCAGGTTGAGTGGTGCCAGACTTTGCGAGCTTGAGGCTTCCAGAAATGTTCAGGTCGGATGCTGGGCAAACGTTGTCACGACCGAGCAACATGTTAGAGGTCCAATGCGTGGTTTGAGAAATCACTGTTGCGGCCAATGTTGAGTGAGTTTGAACCAATTTGTTGGGCAAAGCTAAGTCGCGACTTTGCTCAGGCAGCTCTCAGATTTCCTTCCGTGTGCTCTTTGCTCTTTTCGACATGGCCGCCGCGGGACCTTTGATTGAGGACTTGGAGTCCGAGGAAGAGCCGAAGATCGCTCCGGTCGCACCGAGCTCCGGTGTGAAGAAGGTGGCGCTGGCGGTCGCGTTGGGGCTCGGGCTCGTGGTGGTTCTGGGGGCAGGCACGCAGAACTTCGGGGTCTTCCAGGGCAAGTCTTCCCCAAGCCTGGACACGATGTCGAAGGTCAAAGTCTGGAAAGACAGCTTGAGCGGTGACGAACTCTGCACTGACGCCTACCCCCACAAGGAGGTCTTTGATGGCGCCGGTTTAGAAGTGCAAGGCAAGTACATCAAGAAAGGCGACCGCGATGTGGTGAACCTTGTGGATGAGTTCAACCTGAAGGAGGTCACGCTGTCCAAGAAGCTTCCCCAGAGTTAGCTCCCCTTTTTGCTTTTTTGCTTTTTTTGCTTTCTTGGGGTCCCTTTGTTTTCCACTAACCGGGCAAAAAATATTTTTTTTTGCTGGGGTCCTAATTCCAGCCAAGGAAGGACTTCATGGCCTGGGCGAAGAAATTCCTCGTGAAGACCCGAGAGCAGCTGGCGAAGGACCAGGCAGACCGCGTGGACGGCTTCAAGGCCAGCTCCACTAAGATGGTGACTCAGTTGTTCAGTGGCACCAATTCTTTTTCCAACTTTTTTTTGGTGGCTGCCCCACTAAAATGGTCTCCCCAAAAAGGGTTCCCATTTTTTCCAGGGTCACTGAACGACTGAGGTGAAGTTCATCATGGGCAAGTTCGACGAGTGCCAGTTCTGGGCTGGAAGCAGCTACGACCTGGATGGCTCTCTCGTCGTCTCCTACGTCAAGGATAACGGCAAAGACGTCACGTTTCTCTACTTCCTCGACGCCCTGAAAGCAGTGACCTATTGAAGGACATTGTCTGAGAGGCAGTCTGTATGAGCTGAATGTCCTGCACTCTGGTTCACCCAGTGCAGTGATTCTATAGATTGCTCACACATGTGTAAACAAACAGCCGACTTTGCTTTTAGGCTCCTCTGCACAGTGTGAGAAAAAACATTGCGACCTAACGGTATCTAAAGGTATTGGTTCGCGGCGGGCTCATGATTTGTGTCGTCGGGTGTCATGCTAGTTCTCGCTGAAGGATGCCCCAAAGATGAGAGCTGCAGTGTTTGTTGATTCACCTCCAGATCTTGAAGGTGGGGGAAAATACCAACCAATTTTTGACCCCCCCCCCCCGTTTTCTGTGTGACGATTTTTTGTTTGAAACGGGAAAAACCGCCACCACTTGGCCCCCGTTCAAAAAAAACGCCCCCGAAGGGCTTCATCTCTGGGCCCTTGGGCCAGGAAGTACTCGCCCCCGTAGAGCAACGCCACCACCCCGAGCACGGTGAAAGCGCTGACGGTCACCTCACGTGGCAAAGCTTCAGAAGGACCTTTCCACTTCCGTTGGCTTCACCTGCCTGGAAAAAAATATCTAAAAAAAAAACATCCCCGGGGAAAAACAAAAAAAAAAAACATTTTAATAAACAAAAAAAATCATGTCCAGTAGTGATAGATTCCCTCCAAAAACCAACAGGGGAAATACAACATATTCTTAAGCAAATGGATGTCCATGAAGCCCCGAGACTTTCCATGTTGCTGGTTTTGCACGTTGACTAGGTCCTCCAGTAGAGAGGTTGGAATAAAGGTACCATTTTTTTCTGTGGTCTATTTTAGTGAGGGACCTAGTTACATTTAGCCGAAATCAATCCCGGTATTAAAATGGTCGTAATCCCAGAACAATGCTTCAAGAATTAAGAAGGCGGATGTCCGCAGCTATTTCTGGTTGGAAGTATCCCTTACTAACCTTCATCTACCCGAATCGGTTTTGATTGTGGCTCACGTTGAGGTCCTGGAGGGGGGGATATGCGGGGCTCGTCTTTGTTCAGGGTGCGCCAAAGGAAACCAAGAGGAAAGCCACCAATTGGGGGTCCCCAGGGACAACCAAACACACCCATCCCGTCTGGCCTGTCCGTACCCAGATCCTCCTGGGCCGAAAGAGGAAACCCAACCACTAAACCAAGCGAAAACAACTAAAACCTAAGGAAGTGGACGCCTGAGAACACGGGCTTGTCCTTATTAAGTAGAGAAGCCTCGAAATGTGTGGTTTCGACATATGGAAGCCCTATTTTTCGGACCCTAAAGGGGTGCGAATAGACGTTTTGGAGACACTGGGCGCGCGGAAGAAACAGCTGGTGTGGCTCAATCGACTTGTCTATGTTTCATTGTTGGGTGTCCTTTTAATGGCACCGCACATATTTCCCCTTTGAACCTCACACAGGGAAACTCTTCTTAAGGGGGACCCCTTCCTGGACAGGGATATGGGGCTTAGAAACCCCCTTCTGGACGTGAACCCTGTCCACTCAAAAATCTCAACCTCCCCCACAAAGAGTCCCCCAAGAACGTCTGTTCTGGGCCCCCTGTAAAACACATAAGGAAAAAGATGCCAACTCACAAGTGACACTCCCGCGTCAATCCTGAGTCTCAGGTGCCCCTTTTGCAAAAGAACGCCAAAGCGTCTCAGGTCCTCACATGTCCAACCAGGAAACGTCACCAAAGATTCTCTCAGACTCAGACACAAATTTGCCAATCCCAACTAGGTCCTCCAGTAGAGAGGTTAGAATAAGGGTACCCTTTTTTCTGTAGTCTATTTTAGTAGGGGGTTCCCCTCCCCCCAAAAAAGAAACGGTAAAAGGGCACCAATTGCCGGGGGAGCTAGGCGATGTTGAACCGGGAAGGAGAAATGCCTCAGTTTTTGGGAGACTGATCGACCCCTCGGCTCTGAGACAAGTGCTGGGATGGGCTGGTTCCAGTACTCTCCGAACCAGAAGTTGTCCCACTCCTGGGAAGCGCCAAGTCGGCTGGCCATCTTTGCCAAAGGACATCTATGACTCAAGCTTCCCGGCCGCTTTCTGGCAACATCTGGCGCGTTCAACCAAAAAACTACGCGCGCCCCAGCAACTCTTCGAAGCCCACCGAAAAGGTAACATGCCCAGGCTCCTCTTTTCTTTCCGGGGGTACCCTTTTCTCGGCAAAAGGAAAGCATCTCTCTCTCTCTTTTTTGGGGGGGGACACACCCAAGCTTTGTGCGTTGTGCGAAAAAGAGACGCAAGAGTGGTTTGGCCAAATCAAGTTGGATGTAAGGGATGCTGCATTATGTTGCTTCTCGTGCTTTATTGTGTTGTTCAAGCAACAATATTTGTGTAATACCATGGTGATAGTTAATAATTACTCCCTACAAATTAACGGAAGAAAGTCTTCTTCAGATTCCTCTATATAGCTGCATGTGAATCTGCAGGAGTGTGACTGTTTTCTGAGTTGCTTGGGTTTGCAGGTGATTGATCTGCTTGGGGTTGCTTGGGGTTGGGGGGGTTGCTGAGATTTGTTCAGGTAATTGGTTTTGCTGAGTTACGTAGCGCAACAAACATGTTTCCCCAAACCAGCCTCAGCTAACGAGTGAACCACATAGCTGCCAACAAGGCGGCTTCCTAAAATCTGTCGTGGCGTGCGACAGAATCTGGTCCAAACATGACACTCTCCGGAATATCTGGGTGATACAGCGAACCCAAGAAACAAATTTGAGAAGCCCAGTGCTTCGGTAAGACGCAAACCACTCATTTCGCCAAACATGTCAAAGATCTCAGGGGCCTAGAAGTCCACGTGAGGCAAAAGGTACCCTTGTCTGGGCTTGGTTTAAAAGGAAAACCAGGAAGCCCGTTGTGCCATTTGGGGGCCCAGCCTTAAAAGAGAAAGACCCAAGTTCGATCCAAAGGGTCGAAGAAGGAGCCCTGGTGGAGGAAACGAAACCGGAATGCTGGCCTTTGCTCCAGATCTCAGCTTTTCTAGGAGCTGAGTCTATGTGGACAGATTCATCAACCCCAGTTTATTCTTGGGGGTGTCCCTGGGTGTGGAGAATCATCACTGGAGGGCCTCAACAATGCTGAGCCGGGATTGATCAACAGATTGATATGGAGGGCTGATTTCCCACAAGTGATCCGTATCCCCACCAAATGAGGTCTCAGGACCAACATTCACAAGGGGTTCACCTTGGTTAGAAGGGTCAACAGTACAAGGGAAACTACAAGCGGCTCACCAATAGCTATCGGAGGCTATTTTGCTGAGTCGAACCCTAAACACTCAATAGCTTGAAGCAGGTGTCCAAACAAACCGCCCCGTCGCCGGTGATGGGAATGTCACACAAACCAGATCTACAAAACACCCCAAAGACCCGACAAAAGGTTCTCCTTGGGCCATGACTATGGAATCCACGAGACACCCAAACCCCAAACCCCACCCCAACCCAACCCACCCCCAGCCCCAACCCCATCGAACAGGTCCTGCCAGACGGCCTCCGCAAGCTTCTGCAGCTGCGAGGGGCCCTGGCACTTCACCCGCTCCCTTCTCTCGCCTCCTGAGTGGTTTCACAGAACAGCCCAAACTTCTCGGCCTTTTTCCCACTCAAGTGCTCCCAAACCCCCCAAAAAAAAAAGTCTGGCCCAGGGAGCTTCCTGGAACACGACGCGAAAAAATCTAGGCCTTGGCACGTCTGGCTGCCCCTAAAAGTGGGGAAATTCCATGAGCCGGCGCCTCTTTGGCCTCCGCATCCTGCTGTTCATCCTGGCCCGGAAAAAAGAGAGACCGAGTTCCTTCCCGGGTTTTCGCAGAGAAGCATGAAAGGAAGGAAGGACAAAATACGCATTTATGTGTATATATTATTTATGTGTATGTATGTATATATATATATGTGTACGTATAGATATTTTACAAACATATGTATATATAGTTGCATCCTGCCCACCCACTAACAGTGGATGATGGACATTTAGATCAACCACCACTAACATGGTCTTCCAAATTGCGGTGACTGTTAGTGTTTGGGGGCAGGGTCTAGTAAAAGATGACACGTAGATCTATAGATGGATTAAATATACGGATAGATAGGTTTTTTACCCTCGCCATGTGCACCTTATATCCGCCATGAGCGCTGGCGCGGCCGGGAGACGCTGAATGAACAGGCTGGTTCTAGCTGAAGACTTGAAGGAGCCGGGCTTCGTTTAGGGCAAACCAATATTGCGTGGGCCGGCCTCTCTTGTGTGTTTTGGTCGTGGTGAAAAGGTCCCTCCAAACTGAACATAAAACGACGTGATACACCCGCTGTTTGAGGTTGGCTTCGAAGGGAAAAGAAATGACCATCCCTAGTGAGCCCGGTCAAGAAAGCGACACGCATCAAATCTAGCAACCTGCCAGTGTAGAATAGTAAGCCCAGCTTGACCCAGTGCCTCATTTTTTGTGGGATTTGTTTGGTCAAAAAAAGGCGGTTCCCTTTGAATCCCCTAAGAAGGGTAGCCTCAAAGAAAAAACAGACACATATGTGCATCTGGTTGAATTCTGTTCACAAACACTTTCGGAGCTATGAAAGGAACCTTCGTCACGGAGGCCTTGATTGACAGCGGAGGTTGGCCTCTGAGTGCGTCATGTCTGACCAACGCATCCGACGAATTGCTCGGCTCTGTGGGTTCCAAGGTTGCAAGTTGAGAGATGAGAAGCCCACGCCGAGATGCCCGGAACTGAGTTGCCAACCAAACAAGTCTTCGAATGGAAGGCCAAACCTTTGGCCATGAACAACACCAATAATGAGATTGATGATACTATTTGTTTAACAGGAAGATGGATGAACATGTACATTACGTATGAATAATATTAATAAGAATAAGCAAACTACTCGTGTGTACCTTTTTTTTCGAGACGTGGGTACCAAGAACTAGCCGGTGGCACACCCCTTTGTCAAACCTTTACAAAGCTCTCTCATGAGACTTCAGTGGCACACTGGGTGGCTTCTTTCTAAACTCAGGATTCATCACCGCTCGGCCTCCTTGAGAAATTTTCGAAACAGGGTTCCTTTGATGTCCCCTTGCAACACTCATGAAGCAGCTCATTGCACAATGGCCTTCAATGTCCCCTTGCAACCCAAAGATTTTTCGCACAATGGCCCTTAAGTGAGGCCCTTCAGCCCCCAAACCAAAGAAAGCTGCCCCCTGGCCCCAGCCTTCCGGTGCTTCCGTGAGCGCAGGGCGAGGTTTGCGGATCTCGTCCCGGCCTGGCCCCCGAAACTGAGCGAAGGGTCGGCTGCTCTGAATGCTCTGAGCCCGCTGTGGCAGAGAGGGGGGAAGGAAGCTATGAAGCTATGAAGCCATCCCCTGGCAAGGCGCAGGCACGGTCTTGGAGGCGCCGCGCAACGTGGAACCAGACCAAACGTGGCATCCAGCACCCTGGGAAACAACAAAGACGTGAGCTACCCTCCCACCAGCGATTCCATGGAAGTGCACAGACCCCTGTAGAAAGACTACTTTCCTCTTGGAAGGGCCTTTTTGCACAAACCCACGCTAGTTGGTGGGAGGGTACCAGATAGGAGGATTTCCCCTATCAAACGAGCCCGTTCCAAGACAACCTCCTTTCAGCCCAGATCCTCCGCCGGCGCCTGTAGGCCCAGCAAGCATCCCAGGCCGATCCTCCGGGGGATTCGACGGCCGCCGCCTTGGCTTTTGCCAACCAACAGGTCGTGGCCAAAACTCGGTTTCTTTCTGCTCCCTGCTTAAAGTTTAACTTTTGGTGGTTTAATGGAAACCCATTTGGCAAAAAGTGAAAGTCCTAACATCCAAGCAACATGCACCAAAGAAAATGTTGGGCCCAACCAATTCGTCTAATTCTCGTGCCCCCTAGATTCCGGTCGAAGCTTTCGCTGAACACTTCCAAAAGCAGGTCGTAACACAACTCCCAGTGACCCAGTTGATTGGAAGTCGCCCAGAGGCAAGATGCTCCTTGGATGACTGTAGAGATGCCGCTTGGCTTGTACTGTAGCGTGCCCTTGCTTGAGGCTGCTTTGAACGGCGACCAACGAGAAATCACTCATTTTTGGTTTTCCGTATCAAGAGCCCAACCCACGGACGAACCCCTGGTTGATTGAAGACAGGCAAGTTCCATGGTCTTGGCACGGGTCGATTCTCTTATGGCCCCCCAACTTACGGCCATAACTCGATTTGGAGAACAAAAGTCGATTCCGATTGTTTAGGACCTTGCAGGTGTGCAAGGTGAAGACTGAACCTTGGGCCCCAAGACGTTCATTCAGCTTCTTCTTTTTGAATCTTGGGGAGCCTCGGTTGGCTTGAAAGGGAACACCATGTACAATTGAATTGCCTTCGTCGTTTGGTCGGAGTTGCTGTTGGCTCAGTTGAGCTGTTTGGCTGTTTGGGATTCCTCCAACTGGGTCCCCACTGGTTGACTTCCGCTTGGTTCCCAATCTTCCAAAAAAAAAAAGGAGCTGATAGGTCCTTGCTGGGTGTGTCGTTTTTGGACTTCGGCCCGCCTTTTTGGGGCCGGCGGAAAACGAAAACACCCCGGGCGGAACACCCCCCACCTTGTGCGCCATACGGGAAACCGCTCAACGAGACCCCGGCCTCGGAGCCGCGCGCCAAACGCGCCCCGCGGCTTTCTGTGGGGGTCCCGCGAAGGCGCCGGGCCCAAGCCTCGGGGCTCGGCCAGCGGGAGCGCCATGGGCGGCGAAGGGTGTGGCGCCAAACGCGCGGCGCAAGGAGTCGTTGGGTTGAGGCGTCTTGCTGCCCCCCCGTGTTTTGGCGGCCTTTTTTTTAATATGGGGAACCGGTTTTTTTTGTCGGAATTGTTGAGACCCGTTTTTTCGGTGGCCTGAAAAGGGTTGAAATCCAATTGGAAAACCGAAGCCATTTTGGGGGCTGCACGAAAAAAAGACACGACACACCCATGCGGGTTCTGCAAACGAAAACAGGAGTTTGATCGAAATTGGGCGGAAATCCCACATATGGGCTGCACTGGAGTGTCCAAAAAATCGGCGTTCCATCAGATTCCTGAAATGAGCGGAGCCTTGCAAAAAGAACAGGTGTTCCAACCAGTTGTGCGGTTGAGACGCGTCGGGTGGTGTCCAAAACTAGCTGGGCTCTTCCAAACATTGGGCTCGCCAGGCTGCTGACGCAAGTGCCAATTGTTCAAGTTAAACGTCAGATCGTGTTAGGAAGGCCAAACAGGAACTCCCATCTTGGAGATCATAGTTCACCAACCTGAAACTTGTGGTGGTTGGGGCGAATTATTCCAACCACAAAACAAAAAACACATCTGTTTGGTGAATTCGGTGGGGTGAGGTCGTTGTTCTTTTTTCACCCAGATCTTTGGACACACGAAAAAATGGCTTGACGCCGGTTGCCCCTCCGGCCGCTCGCTCTTGCCGAGCAAACCTTTTTTTGAGCCATAGTCAAGACACGCAAAATGTGTGAGCAATGGTCAGGTGAGTCAGAATCAGAACCCGGAATTAAAATGGTCCACCCAGAATCATGTAAAGAATTTAGAAGTCGGATATTCGCGACTATTTATGGTTGGGAGTATTCCTTACTAACCTTCATCCACCCAGGTTTTGAGCAAGTGGCTTAGGCTGCCTCGAAGATCTGCAAGTCGATATGTCTGTCTGAAACCCATTAGGGTGGATGACCATTACAAGTGACGTTGAAGCAACCCGTGCTGAGCAATGAGCAATTTGTCATGGCTCCCTCAAAACTGCATGGAGCCACACCTTCTGAACTTCTCTTGCTTAAGATGTCAATACAAACTTTGAGATGATCACGACATCATAATCATCTATATAATTTACATAGATGATGTCGTGACAATCTCAATCTCAATGCAGCAAAAGGGACAGTTTGAGAGCCTACCCCTCCCACTAACATGAGGGATTTGTGGGAGGATATCAGGAAGATCAATTTCCCCCCTCAACGGACCCTCTGTCATTTTGCAAAACGGCAACGTGGGCACCTGGAAACCTCCAGTTTTCCCAACTTCCGTTGGGAACATGGCGATTTCTCGAAGACGCCAAGGAAACTCAAGGCGAAGGGGCTGAAGGGAGGGCATGTGGGCGGCCCCTCAAAATGGGCGGGGCTTCCCTTTTGATTTCCCTTTAAACCACCAGAACAGGGGTACCAGTACCCTCAAAAAACGACACACCCATATTTGGAATGAGGCGCAAATCCAAAGGCGATGCTCCACAATCCTAAATGAGAAACTCTGCACCGCCGCTCCGATACATGGGCAAAAGCAACACGGTCAAAGTGCCCGACCCACAACACGCCTCCCGCACTTTTGCATTCCAGCCGTCAATGGTGCTCCCCCCCAGGGTGTTTCCCCACGCACCATATCAGAAGGATGCTGCGCATCGGGAAGCGACGCTGGCAGGAACAAACGCAGCAGACATCAAGCTGCCTTAATTCCCCTGGTGAAGACCACCCCGCTTTTGAGATGAAAACCAGGCTTTTCCAAGCCTTGTGGCCTTTTCGTTAGACAACGAAAAGGCTCCCCCCTAGCAGAAATCCGCTGATTCTCTCTCAGGAACCGATTGTGGCTATGGTACAATGCGTCTTCGCCCAGACCTCCGCTTGCTTTCCCTCAGTTGTTCAGTGACCCTGGAAAAAAGGGAACCCTTTTTTGGGAAGACCCTTTTAGTGGGGCAGCCACCAATAAAAAAAGGAAAAATAATTGGAGCCACTGGACAACTGAGTTCCAGTGCTGATTTTGAAGCCCTCCCAAAAGGCAGTCGTGAAAATTCCCCAAGGTCCACATGACAAGGATCTTCCCTCCCAACTGCCCGGTGGGCCATGGCAAACGTCGCAAATCTCTCAGGGCTCCAGTTGGTTCCACCAAGGGTCTAGACTAAAACCCCCAACGGGAGCTCGCCTGAGTCACAATCAAAACCCGGTAATAAGATTACACAGAACCATGTCAACAATTAAGAAGGCGGATATCCGCAACGATTTCTGGCTGGGACTGGCCCTTACTAACCGAATCATCTACCCGAATCGGTTTTGAGGACGTGTCTGGGTATCACTCCACCTTGGGGCCAACCACAAACCCTGCAGCTAAAGCCATGCAAACGAATTGCCTCGAATCCGCCTGGTGTGCCGCTGGGTGTGGATGGGGTACCATCCGGCAAAGAAACCTCCTCACATTCCCCCCTCTTCTCCAGGGTGCAAACGGCGTGTACACCAATTTGCCCCCAAGTCTCAAGCAAACCCCCAAAGTTTAAGTTGAGCCAGCTGGAGGAAATGTCTAAGCAAAAGAAACCGGAACACTACTGGGAGCCTGCAGGCCCAAATGCTGGGTTTTCCTTTTGGTTTCTCTTACCGATCTAGGGTGCCAATCAACATAGAGACACGCAGACACACACAAAAAAAAAACAAACCTCTGACAAGCTTGGAGGGATTTAAAATTTGTGGATGTCCCACAATGGAGTTTGGCGTTCTATTTGCTCTCCCGAAAAGAAGCAATAAAACAAGAAACACCAAAAACAAAAAAGAGGTACCCAATCAAATACGCGCGCACACGCACAAATGCGGATCGATGTCGCTTTTTGGGTCGAAGGAGAACTCGATTTCCAGCTGGGTCTAGTGAGATGTTTGCATTTTCCGCTGCTCTCACGGCAGCAGCTCATTCGCCAGGTCCAGCCTGAGGCAACACAGGCGGCTCAAAGCCCAGGACGGGGTCTCTCAAAATACTTGGGTGCTGTAGATCCCCCAGCAAAAAGTTTAACTTTTTGCTGGTCAAAAGAAAATATGAGGGGAATCCAAAAAGTTAAAGTGGTCAAAATTAAACCACCAGGGGACTGCAGGTTTGAGTCCATGTTTCCATTTATCATGGGGTCCTTTTTGGGCACCTATTTTTGACCCACAGCCAAAAAGCGGGGGTACCTTCCAACCAATTCACATGGAACCTGACATTCGGGGTGGTTTGGACCATTTTCCTTCTAAAGGGACCTCTTCCCTGTCAGGTTTCGGCTGTTGATTGGTGGGAGGCTACCTGGTTGTTTTTTGCTTCGGTTTCTCTTTGACACCCCCAATTTGAGGGTACCATTTTTGGATCCCTCAAAGACACGCACCCATGTACCGCTCCGAACTTTGCAGAGCCTTGAACAAAGACCCCAAAGCACGTCGGCCAGTTGAGTAAGGGAGTCTGCACTCTTGAGCGAGTTTTGAGGAATAAGCCTTGACCATGTGCTCGAAAGCACGACCTTTCGCCAATTCGCGCCGAAAGAATTGGACCTGTTTGAGGTGACATCTGCTGGTCTGAAACCACCAATTCAGAAAAATCATGGAAAGACCTACGAATCAACGGTAGCGTGGCCTTTTGGCCTTTTGCCCACGAACTGGGCTGGCCATCCAAATAGGTCATGTCATCTGTCTACAGGTCTGATGGGCTCGGCATAACACATCGAAGGACCCTTGCCTGATTGATTGTTCAGGTCTCACTTCCTGAGTGGATGACCCAAAACACACCCAACACTTTTTGCTTGACGTGGTTCCCGAAAAGTATACAACGTCCGTGAACTCAGGAAGTGGAAGTAAGTCTCATCCATCTTTTCGGGTGGTAAAGATGACCAACAGGCCAATGGCCAATTCCGCATTTCAACCTGACCGCACGTGAGGCATATGGGTAGCTCGTCTTTTTTTGGTGGTCCCCCTTGGTGGGTGGGTTTCAAGGGAAACCCAAAGGAAAATCCATTTTTGGGGACCCTAAAAAGGCGAACCCGCATGTTCCTATCAAAACCTGAGAGGAAAGAAGTCTGCCCCAAGCCCCAAACCCAGAAGATCGCAAGGCTTCAACACGGCAGCCGCGTCTATGGCTGAGACTGCTCCTACTACTCCCCAGATTAATTGCCGGAACCCCCAAAACCCATTTCTTCTGTTAATTTGCAGGGGTTTTGCTGGCTCACATGTGCCCCAGCTTGACCCAAGGGGTCACACCTCGACAACTTTCTGGTGGGAAGGGCAAGAAGCCAAGCACTGGCACGAAAGTGCACCATTGTCCTTCCCTTCCCTTCCCTTCCCACAAATGTAGAACCTGACGGGCCCCTCTCCAACGTATCGCAGGCAGCTTCTCTCGTGTTCGCAGAACTCGATCCCGGTTGCCCAAAGGCCTTGGTTTGTTTTTGCAAAACAACAAAAAATAACGAATCGTTTTGGGCTGGCCAATTTTTTAAGAGGGACATCAAACAAAAAGGCGAAACCGGCTGCCGCTGAACAACTCGGTGGAAGTCGGTGCCGGAAAACGCTTCCTGACGAGTTGAAGCAGCGTGGAAGCAGCGGGAGCCCCTGAGCCGCTGGCGGGATCATTTCAGGCAGGCTCCTGCCGCTGGAGTGAGCCTTTACCCCAGAAATCACCATTCCGCATCCTTTGCATCTTCGCCTTGCTCCATTGCAACCGTCTCTGCAAGGGGCGGGTGTCTGTCCTTTCCATGCATTTTCAGCAAGCACCTGTTTCAGGGGTCAAAAGGCAAACCTGGCCAGACGATTTTCAGGAGCAAATGAGCTAAATAATTTCACAGCCAGTTTCCCGGAGCGCCGAAAATTAAAGCACCCGCCCAAAAGCCAAGCGAGGTTGTCTCCCCCACCAACAGTAGATCATGGGATTCAACACCAACAACTCAAGAAGATGTCTGCTGTGCTCGGGAAGCTTCCCGAGTCATGGACCTGGGTTGATGCTTCAAGGCGTCGATAACGGTCAACATAGCATGGACTTGGTGGACCTGAGATACTTAGCAACTTAG